AAATATTTACCTTAATTTTTACTGGACCAAAGATATGTGATGTGTCTTTATGCAAAGGGAAGAATTTATTATAGCGTTCTGTATACAAAAGGAGAATATTTGTGATAGATGAGAGTTTCCAGTTCAAACATTTTTTGGAGGAAGATAACACAAGTTTTCTCCCTAGTCCCCATGCATAATAAGCCTTTGGTATTTTTCTGATGCCAAGCACTGAACATTTCCACTAGCACAAAGGGAGCTGCGACAGGCATACAGCAGGACTGACAGTCTATCTTAAAGGTTGGTCGAATGAACCTTGTTTGCATCTCTCCTCATAAAGTAATTTTCCCAGGATTTCTTGAAAGGGAAAACTTTCACAGAGCAAGGATCTTGCTCGCTGGCCATGTTACCCAGGAGAGCAATGTTTCCCAACAGGCTCACGGAGAATCAGGTAATGGTAGAAAAAGCAGTGCTAGATGTTGGCAAATGCCCTTTTTTTAAGCGCAGAGGGTGAAAAGCAGCTATCGTTAGTGACTGCAAAAGTTTATGCTCCTGAAGGAACTTTTAGCTGCTGATACTGTAGCTTTCCCTCTGATGGGAAAACGCTGATTTCGGAATTGCAGCCACTTCGTGTTCCCCAGTCCGGGGAACCACCATGAGGGCAGCCCAGTGCACAGCATTAAGGCAATTAAGCATTTCCATAAGCCAAGAAGGAGATTCATTTTCAAAATGTGTGTGAAACCGCGCGGGAGACTTTGTCCACTGACTTACAGGAACATGAGAACCCACAAAATGGCCAAAATACAAAAGTCTCTAATAGCCAGATGACAGAGGAGCACCTAAACCTGCGGCTCAGTTCAGGGGCTGTGCATAATCTTCAGCCTAAGCCTCCAGAATAAGTCAAAAACACCCCACAGAAGTGACTTCTCAGCTGGTGGGGCACGGCCCGAAGGGCCAGGCCTGGTGGGAGCGACGCCGAGCTGAGCTCGGCCTGGCTGCACCAACGCAGTTTGCCAAAAACCGGCCTTGGGCTGTGAGGTTCATCATTGAGATCTGCGGGGAAACAAGCACGTAAGCATTAAAAGCGATCCTTTAAACTGCAGTTATAGCCGGGTCAACAATTTGACAACTAATCCTAATTCAATAATGCTAGACTTTTCTTTCCTCTCATGTATTTTTTCTGTTTTCTATGCAACTCATAATTTTATGCGAGGCTTTTTCTTTTGCTGGTGAGTAAACTGACTGGTATTTTCATTGCATATACATGTGAGGAAGCATTATCACAGTGGGCACGAACAGAGAATGCAGTCTGAAGAAACTTCTTAATTCACCACTGTTTGTTTGCTTTTCATTTAGTATGAAACTGTTAACCTTTAAAAAAACACAACCAAGAATAAGGCTAAATATTTATTATCATAATCTCGTATTTCACATATTTGAAAGTTCAGTACTGCAATACTATCTAATGCAACGCCTCAGCCAAAGTGGATGTGGCAGACGTTTTGTTTCTTTTTTATTTGATGTCTTTTTCCCCATTGACATTTATGGATGGTATGAATCTGAAATGAGACATGCAAAAACAAAACTGGATATTTCATCCTTTTGAATTTTACCATTAATAGTTTGAAATTATTATACTAATATGTGAAGCTTTCTGTTTTCGCTAGCTGGAGAAAACAGTGCCTATGTATGTACAGGCCACACAACTAAATAAGAAACCAGTGTGTACAGTGGCAAAATCTGATTTCATAGCAGTCAAGAGAGGCTCCCCCCGATATCAGTATGGCCAGAACTTCACCTTAGCATTAAGGTCTCTCTTCAGCAGGATCTGCTCCAGAATTTGCAGTGACACATGTGGTTCACGAGCACCCACGCACCAATTGCCCCTTCCTAGCTCAACTTCATGCCTATCCCTGCTCCCCGCTTTATAAATCCACTCCTAAGAGTGCTCGAGAGAACTGCCACAACTGGTTGGCATTAGAAGGAAATGAAAATCTTTTAAGTGGCTCTCGTGCATGTCGTCTGAATGCGCCGGATGACATTTCAGCACGAGGCTGTGCCTCCTCCCCACCACACTCATCAGGAGTGGTTTGGGTTTTCTTTTTCCTTTTCCCCCCATATGGGCACTGAGGTTTCCAACAGCATTGATCCCTCGGCACATTTTTCTCTACTTTGCACAACCCTCTTTGAATATATTCCTGCAAACAGAAAGGCTTCAATATGCAACAGCATTTTAGCAGCTTGCAGGACGGAGCCCTTGATGTGATCATTCGATTATATATGAAGCAATTCTCGTGATCAATGAGTGATGTCAGGGTTATCACTTTGAAGTTAATAGCAAAATTTGCATTGGTTTAAATCTGAACGGGATCAAGGCAGGCAGCATCAGGCTGACATCTCATAATTGATTTCCATTTTTCTCTTTAAACGCTCATGTCCCACTCTGTGCTTTTTCATGAGACGGGAGAAAAGAGCAAACGCTGGAAACTGGTGTTTTCACCAGCTTTAGGCTGTCATGCTTAACAAATTGTCCTACTATATTAGTTTATACGGGCATCCTGTCCTTGATCAGCTCCCACATTTCCCATAGACAGCAGCAGGAGTTACAGGCAAAGAGAAAATGAAATAAATGGCCCCCGCTCTGCAAATGGAAATATAATACTCCATGTGCAGACAAAAGGCCCGATTCAAAGGGATACAGCAGCACCTCTAGCAAAGCAATTTCTACGGACTTCAATGGAAACTACAGAGAGCCCATATTTCTTTGCTTCTTTTAATTTAAACTGCAATTTACTCTCGTATAAAAAAATCTGGGATACATAAAGGCCATATTGGAAGCACAGCACCCATCGCTCAAACTAACAGGAAATGAGAGACAGTGACAGAATTTTAACCAGTTTCTCACTCGCGAGGAGCATCCAACACCCGCCGGGGAGAAACTCCATCCCGCTCCCTTCCCCGGGCGCCTGCTCGGCCCGGATCCGGCGTGTGCGCGCCGGCAGCACCCGTGCGTGTCCCCAAGGGTGCCCGCTTGGATTTGCCGTTCGCTAAACCGCCGCCGAAGAGATTCCTCGAGGGATGTGACTGTCCCAATGAATGCGGGTGCAGAGCCCGTGTGAGCGCAGGCTGCGGCCGTGGGAGAGGCGCCGGCCGGGGAAACGGGGGTCACTGATGTCCCCGGGGAAATGGGGGTCGCTGATGTCCCCGGCGAAATGGGGGTCACTGATGTCCCCAGGGAAACGGAGGTCGCTGATGTCCCCGGGGAAACGGGGGTCACTGATGTCCCCAGGGAAACGGGGGTCGCTGATGTCCCCGGGGAAACGGGGGGTCACTGACGTCCCCGCATGCTTTGAACAGCTCCAGGGAGGCGCGACAGCGCATGGGGAGCGCGGCAGCGGCTGGCATCTGACAGGGAACCTGAGGAAAGGCTTGCACGGGGGAAGGTCCCCACGAGGGAGAAGGGACAGTTTGGATTTGTGCTTTGCGTTCGCAGGATTTGGGCACTGGAGCACGCGTCTGTGCAGAATTCACGCAGAATGCGCGTTTTTATTCACCCGCACTTCCAACTCTTTCCATCCTGCCGCTGTGGAGCGCCCGCTGAGCGGGTCCCGGGGAAATAAAACCAGCCGGGACTGGCCCGGCCGCTCCGGCCAGGGAAGCGGAGCGGGCGCCCCAGTTCCCGCGTGTGCGGGAACCGCGAGCGTGGGGCGCAAAACCTGCCCAGCACAGCACGACACGCACAGCTCAACACACATCACATCACACATCACATCACATCACACAACACAACACACACAACACACACAGCACAACCCGCGAGCCCCGTCCCGCCGCTGTCCCGGCGCGACCCTCCCCCCTCCCGCCGGGCGCCCCCCGGCGGCCGCCTCCCTCCCTCCCGCTCCCCCCCCCGCGGCGGCCCGCGCAGCCGCCCGGCAGGTGGCACCACCGCGCACGCGCCTCGGCGGGGCCACGTGACGCCACGGGACTCTTCCGCCTGCACCCGCGCGGCTTGTGCCTCGGTAGCAATGGCCGCTGGGCGGGGAGACGTGTCATGTGTCACGCGCGGCGGCGGGAAGAGAGCGCAGGGGCGGTGGGTTGCGCGGCATCACGTGACTTTCCCCTCCCGCTGCCGCCCGTTTGGCGGGCGCTACGGCGGCCGCGTGGGTTGCCTAGGCAACCGCGGGCGAGCAGGCCTGGCCTGGCCGGGAGCAGCGGGACCGCGGGCGCCGCCGCCGCCCGGTGCCTCCCGGTGCCTCCCGGTGCCTCCTAGTGCTTCCCGGTGCCTCCCGGTGCCTCCTAGTGCTTCCCGGTGCTTCCCGGTACCTCCCGGTACCCTCTGGTGCCGGGCGGTGCCTGGCGCAGCCCCGCGCCTCGCCGCCCAAACGGCCCTTCGCGAGCGTCCCGCCTCACAGGTAGGCCTGGGAAGGGCTGTGTCTGCCGATAGCAGCTTCACAGGGCACGCTTTATTCTGTAAATGAGCTGGCAGGTGTGCTGAGCGGGGAGAGCCCTTATATCGTGAATTTCTGCAAGACCTGTAAAGTGGACACTTAAAAGTGTGTAATAAGCAAATCAGCCTGGAATTAACGTTTTTCCATTTGCTTAAGTAGTTGGCTGCGAAATAAAACGCAAACCTGGCAGTGCCCACATTCTTTCTTTGGTTGTACAAATATGAAAGGCTATTGGATTGTGTGTGTCATGAGAGGTAACGTTCTTAATCACCTTACCACATTTGAGAGATACTTTCCAAGTGCTTGCACAAGGAAATCTGATTTAATTCAAAGTGGGGCCAGTCTGCTCCAGCAGTTCTGTTTTCTTCTTTTTTTGTCCTGCCAAGGTGACGGGTGGTCTGTGGATGAGCAAGGAGCGAAAGCAGGAAGAGCGGCGGTCCCAGCTCGCCCGCAAAATCCATCCGCCGGGGGGGCAGCAGAGAGGGCTCCGTTTGGGGAGAAGTTTTGTTTAATGGGAAAAACACTCCTGCAAATGTCCGGCCCTTTTATCTTCATGCAGCGCTGCTTGGCCCGGGAGACTGTCCAGTGCTGTAATGCTGCTGTCCGTGCACGGTTCTGAAAGCAGCCACACGTGCTGAGCACCAGGAGAGGCAGAAGCTGCACAACACTGTGAACGTGGGCTGTGCGTTATACCTGAGCAACCAGTGCAGACCTACAGGTATGAGAACAGGCCTGGCCAGGAGCAATATTTTCTTTTTCTGTGTCAGTGCAGGCCAAATCTCCTTCTCTGGAGATCTTCCAAACCCACCTGGATGCCGCCCTGTGCCCCGTGCTCTGGGTGTCCCTGCTGGAGCAGAGGGTTGGACTGGATAATCTCTAGAGGTCCCTTCCAACCTCAACCATCCTGTGATTCTGTGAAATCTGAATACAATTCTGTCATCTTAAAGACTTTAATGCACTTTATTGAGCCCTAGGCATAGCAGGGAATATGAGACAAAACTTTTAGTGCCATGTGTCAACAGTTTAGGAGAAGCAGCAGAAAGGAATAAAAAGCCCATGAAATGGATGGGAAGTGTGACTACAGTGTTCTTGTTTCATTATTGACAGAACTCTTAACTATTGATGAGGAAAAGAGCTGTCTTAAGGATAATGGGAAGATGATGTATGTGGACTAGTATTTTTTTACCAAGTTTAAAGGCTGAAACTATTGTTTTGGAATTTAGTACTTTTATTCTATTTTATTCTGTCATCTTCAATAAATAATACAGATTTTTATGTGGAAGGGCAGGCATTAGGGAAGGGGCTGAAATTTGGCATCTTTTGTTTAGTATTGCATATGGAAACAGAAAATCTCTAGGCTGCCTCTAGTTTCAGAGTGTATTTAATTAACTTTATTTTCGTTTTAAATATTAGTGTTTAATTCCAGTTGTTCAGAAGGGAAAATCCAGTCGCATATAATGGCCCGTCGACTTTCAAAAGAAGAGTTAGATGAGCAGTTTGAACAGTTTCTGAAAGAGGTATGTTTTGGAAGAAAGTCACATTTTCTAACCCTTTTCTCCATTAAAATACAAGAAAAAAAAATAAGGGTATGAAGGGTATGAAATGGAAGATGCAGCTGTGCTTTTATCATATAGTTCATGCAGTTGTTTTCTATGTAGGTCTTTGCAAGGTCATAAATTACTTGCTAACTTTGCTCTTAGCATTTAGCTGTATTTAAATTACAAGGACAGTTCTGTGATTACAGATGAATATCTTGTTATTGTGGGGTTATATATTCAGAAAGACTCCCTTCTGTCTCAATTTTGTGTTAATTTAGTTGCATAAATACTTTAGGAATAGTGGCAGAGATTTCAAATTGATAAAATGATAAATTTAATACCTGAAAATAGAAGTAATGAGCCCCAAACATTTTTCTTTATGTAGCTGCAAGTTACATTAAGAATTTTCTGTGAAATAGCCAATTTGAGTTATGTTAAAAAAAAAAAACTCAACAAAATGGAATCTGCTGTAATGACTGAAAAAAATTTTTGAATGATTTTATTACAGATGGTGTGTAAAAGCATTCAAATTATTTTTTTTCCAAAGTCATCTAAATACATGGCTGATAACTTAAGCTAGCAATTATGAGAAATGGCCAGAACGCTATAACTTGGTTTTTTGTTTGTTTGTTTTGGGTATTTTTTTCTTTGCGTGTAGACCTGCAATTTTGAAATTTGTTCTCAGGTCTGTCAAAGACATGGTGTGTTAAGGCTAAGCATCCCATTTTAGAACCTTTACTTGATGCTGTTATGGTTACGTAAGGATATCTGATTTAATTCAAAGTCTCAGTAGTCTTCTGTAGCATTTTTTGTCTGCTATAACAAGTGCAGCTAAAGACAGCAAAGAGTATAGGTGGGTCATCACTACATTAATGACCACTACATTAATGTATACTACATGTTCTGGGTTATGAAGACCAGGCTGCAATTTTGTTATTTATGAGAAAGGAGCCCCTGTAAAAATGCTGTAATAACTCAATTAACGTGCACCTAGTGAGATATTTTTACAGATGGAATAAGTGTAATTTCATTGAGCAATACCAAATTGAGAGAATAGAGTAGCAATGTCATCTGAAACTTAAGATACAGTGATAACTGAAAGTAGAGGTAGGCTTGATTGTGAGTTATTGAATTAATTCAAACAAAAAGTGCTGTCGCTTGGGAAGGGCAATTGTATGTTTGAGGTGAAAACATAAAGTTAAATGGAAGACTGGGTGTCTAATAGGAATATGAAAAGGAAGAAGTGTTCTGACATAAGCATTGAACTTTAGAAGCTCTTAAAGGATTCCCTGAGCTCACACTTCTGCTCATTTAGATTTTCTTCTGTGCAACAACATTTACTGCCTACAGCCCCCATCTAACGGACCTGCCTGGTGACACTCCCGACACCTTGTGCCTCTTGCTAACACTGATTACCATGCTCTTTAAAACACTAGGGCAATTGGTCTCAGTTATGACAGAAAAACTTGGGCAGAAAGTCATTTGCCATCCAGTATTTGTTGAGATCAAACACAGGAAATAAGCAAAGAAGCATATAAAATTACACAGCACCAGTTTAAATCTAGTGATGAAACATGGAGTCTTGAATGGTGGAAGGAGAGGTAGAGAAAAATAGGCAAGTTCCTGACAAGGAAAGAAAAGGTCCGGAAAAGTGGAGCTTTCTGTGTACCTTGATCTTAACATATTTCCTGCATGGATATATTCCCTTATTGAGGTTCTGATGAGCCAGTGTTGCCCCTAAGCCTGCTGTAAAGGACACGAATTTTATTGAAGGAGAGGAGTAGCAATTGTTTTTTCCCTCCCCTGATTGTTTCTGGCTGATGGCTTAAATGTGGGTGACTAAGAAATATGTAGGGAAGCCTCAGGAGCCAAGTGAGGCAGAAATGCCTCCTGCACTGCTGGCAATTCCCCTGAACACAAGCCTTAGAGTGAATTTCTGAAGTGTGACTTGCTGGAAGCTTGGATGCTGCTTATGCAGGTTTACCTTTACAATATCCATAATGTTGCTCTCTATCAAATGAGGCCAAACAAAAATTTGTGCTCTACTGTTGTGCTTTTAAGGGAGGTAGTCAGGACTTTCTCAAGTTCTTACATGTTGAAACTAAGTGAGAAACTAGAGTGTACATTTAGACAAACATATACTCTGCTAACTTGTAACGCATGCGACTTCAAGCAGCAGTTACCACATATAGTGTTAGATAAATACAGGTACTGTCTCTTGCACAGCCTTGTCATGAATGTACAAAAAAGGCAGACATCTGAACTCGGAGGTCTAGAAACGAGTGGCTAAACGGCAGTTAATGTGAAAGATGTCTTCAAACTCACGCAATTTGCTCAGTCTCTTTCAGATGATTCACTTGGAAGTTCAAAGAAAAAATCCAGCGTTCTTGAGACCTTGGGGCAGCCCAGGAAAAAGGAATCAAAGAACAAAGATCCCGTGCCGTGGTGGGTATCGGAGGAAGATTCCGATGATGGTGGTAAGTGCTGCAGTTTTGCAGTTTTTTGGCCACAGGGTGTCAGGCGAGTTCCTTCTCTTGCTTCATATGTGCTTGTTTTCAGGTTAAAGCAATGCCCTGCAAAGTGCTTTGCCCACTTGTAATGTGCTAAATCATAAAATCCAGTGTGGTTCTGTTTCTGAAACGAGGGCAAGCTGTAAGCAAGCTTTCTGCTATTTTTTTTCTATAGTCTTCAAACTATTAAAGTACATACATTATAAATAATAAAAGGATATTTAGAAAATGTAAGTTGTAAACTATAGTGAAATATTAGAAGTATTTTGTAACCAATCTATTTTATCCATTTTAAAAACAGGACAAAGGGAAAGAAACCTTGGAGGAAAAGACAACTTGTATAATCTTATATTAATTACAGTATTTATAATAGATGGGGAAAGCACAGATAATGTTTTCAGAGGCAGTTGATTCAAATATATATCAGAGATTATTTGCTCATGTAGTTGTGGAAGAAAATACAATATGGTTTGCAAGCTTCCCTCTTGCAGTTTTCCATTGCCCTGGTAGTAGCTATCTTTTCTTTTTTTATCATGGAGCAATCACCCCTGAGTGACCTCTTATTTTAATGACTTAAACATAAAGTTGAGGTAGGTTTAAGAGTTGATGTAAACGTTCCAGGTTGTTCCTTTCCAAACCAGTTCCAACACTCTTATTTTTTTAAGCTATAATAGTTAATAAGATTTAGTTTTATTTCACCTACTCTGTTCATGTCCTATATGTGCTCAGACTTCTCCACTTGTGTGACATGCAGCAAACCATACCCTGCCCCAGTACTTTGCAACTGCAGAGCAGAGAGGCTACTAGCTTTTCCCAGAGGGCTTTCCAGGTGCTGTCTTAGCAGAAGAGGGTGACTCCTTGGTGTGAAGCAGAGCTCAGGACTGCTTGATCCTCTGAGCAGAGGCCTGTGTTTCTCATACATGTTTGGCATGTGGCGAACTGTGGGCACTCATAAGTGGCAGCAGTGACCATTTGCATTAGCTTCTATAGTGATAGATATATATCTATCTATATACATATCTATATATCTACCTATTATATATCTATCTATAGATATAGATAATTATATAACAGAGGCAACCACTAGTATGGTGAATGCCGTTTTACTAACTAAAACATAGTGGTCTCAAAGGTCACTTACAGTCTGAGAGACATCTGCAAAGTCCAACATGGCCTCTTCTAGGTAAAGTGTATATTTTTATATATATATATATATATATGTATATTTTCTTTTGTAGTTATAAAAGTGGATAACTTGTATGTTTTTGTAATTGAGAATGACGAATCCCCACACGTGAGTATTTATGTGAACACATACTGCACATTGCAAACCATGCTGTGCTTTAGGTTCACGTAGATGCACCTGCCATAGGCAGTTGGTAGTAGTATATGTACATGTAATTCACTTTAGCTATACCCCTGGAACTGCCGTTTTTCCCCCCTCTCTCTGGGGGTGACTTCCTGCTTTGCGTGCCTGTAAGTACTTTGTAAAATACGGTTTTGCCACATCTAATTCTTCAGCGTATGTGTGTTGTGTAGTATGTTACTGCAGTGTCTTATTAATGGATGAAGACAGAGCATCATTGCAATATAAGGTACAGTAGGGATCAATTTCCAAAAAAAAGAAAGTCATTTTGTAGCTTTCCGTAAGGTTATTAAATATGACCTGCTGAAGAACTAAATTAATACTGCTGTGCTGGTAACAAATATGGAAATAAACATGATTTCTAGAAAGTTTAAAAGCGGCATTCTTTAAAATCCTTTAAAGAATTTTAAAGTTCTTTAAAACCCTTTGTCTGCCTAGGCCTGACCCTTGAGGGCAGCTGCAGACAGTTGTTGCTAAAGCCACAGAAACTCCCTGTGCAGCAGATCCCCCACATTGATCTCCTAGGGCCGCAGGCTCTCAGCTGACAGATGATTTTCAAAGTGTCTTGTCATCACGAATCACACTCATGTGACTGTCCAAGTCCTACCTTCACCTGCAGTAGAGCCCTTAGATACTATACATTTGTTATCTGATTATTATCTTCAATACATCTTGCTGCAGAAGATGAGATTTATATAAAAATGCAGTTTTCACTAGTTTTGTGGTAGATGAATAGTCAATAGCGTAGGATATTCCTGTCCATTTGGATGAGAAAAATAACGCACGCTGTAAAATAGTTACATGTCATCCTAAACACGTTTAAACTCTTGTTTCTCCAGCTTTACATTAGGATGTGTAAATCGTGATTCAAGATAGTGTCTTCCATATTTGATAGGCTACAAACTGACCTCTAACTAATATTCTTTCTACTTCCTTTCTTTTCTCCCCTCCTAAACAAAAGGATAGTAGGAATTCCTGTCCTGTTTTGCTTGCTTATCTGCTCTTGCTGTTTGTTTTGCTCTTCAAGATTTTCAAAGCCGATTTGTTAAACTGGGAAAAAAGAAGAAAAGGATGGGAAGCCATGCTGAAATAGTTGGAAATAATGAACAAGAGATTCCCCATTCAGATTTCCAGTCTGGTATTTGATTAAATATGTTTAGGTCAATTTATTTAGTGTCAGTGTGGTGGTATTGCTGTGTTTCCCATAGGAAATCCTTTTTACCTAGTTCATTTAGCCCTAGTGTTCTTATAAAAGCAAGCTGCCACTTACTTCCCTTGTCACTTCCAAAAGAGACCAGGAGCCCCATCCACTTCTGTTCTCTCCTCCTTGGCTGTAGCAATGCAGGAGGACAGACAGTATTAAGTGTCAGTCGATGTAGAGAGGAAGATTGTTAAAATCTAAGGAAAGCCCAGTATTGTTACAAGGTTTTCTGTATAATATTTTATTTAGTAGTCTCTTGCAAACTGGAGAAGTATTAATGTTTTTGATCTATTTGTGTAAGCTCAAAGTCTCCAGTCAGCCTAAGCGCTCTGGGTACCTTCTACTCATGCGATTCTGCTCCTGCTGCTGAGCAGTAGCAGCTCTGTGCATCCTGCCCCTGGAACAGAAACACTGAAGCATTTATAATAATGACAGATTCAGTTGTTATCAGGAGGATTTTGGTTAATGCAACTGTAGAATCAGCCCTGTAGTTTTTTTTATCTGAAGAGAAGGTCCCGAGAATAATTAAGAGTTGTAATGAAGTATGAGTTGTAATGAAGTATGATTTTTTTATTATTATTATTAGTTTAGTAACATTAGTGATTAACTTAGGCACTACGTTAAATGTAGCTTTGGCTTCAAATTCAAGCAGATCCCAAAATATTTTGGAGAGCTGTGACAAAGAAATACTTGGCGCTTGGTCGGTAGCGTTGGTGGCTCCGTAGCCCATAGACCATTTCCCACACGTTGGCTTGCTAGAGGGTCTGTGCTTCCCTGTCTTCATAAGCTTCATCCACCCAGGGCAATTACAAAGCATCTCGGTCTGGGAGATAGGCTCAGTTTTTGCGTTTATTTCTCAAATGAGGCTTCCCGCTTGGAATATGAGCAACAGGAGGAATTTGGAAATTACCTTTTATAACCATTTTAAGAATGGTAATTTGGCATTTGCATTATAATCTGGCTTAATGAAAGGCAGCCTGTTGGTTTCCTGGTAAACGTGGCAGAATGGAGAGCTCCGAGGCGAGCGCGAAGGGGCCTTGCCGTGGGCCAGGGCATGAAGCCCCGCGCTCTGCCCGGCCCTCCGCTGGCACCTGCCTCAGGTTTACAGCTTCCTTGGTCCTCTTGGGTGTTCCTGAGATAGCCTCAGCTCACATCTCCCCATCATCCCATTTCTGGGCAGCTGCCATACGTGGCAAGGGGCCCTGGGCACCCTCCCATGTCAAGGCAAGTTCACAAATTCTGTAGCAAAGAGGTTGCTCTGAACCAGTCAGTTTAGCAGAGCTTTTTCCCCCCTGTCTTTAAAGCTTGAACAATGGCAAGCCTCATACAGTGCAGCTGTAGCCTGGCGTATGTGAAGGGTGTTCTGTGAACGCCACCTGGGGCCCATGAGAGAGACATTTTCAGCAGAGGGAACTGTCATCTGGAATTAGATCCCAGTGGTATGAACGGGCTGTGTTTGATTTCAGTGGCAATTAAGCAAGCCCTAATAAGAGTTTAAGAAATGACCCACATTTCTTGTAAATAACAGCGATAGAGACACAGTATTTCACATCTTATACACCTGCATTTTTCTGCTTTTTCTGGAACCGACCCAGATGCTTTCTGTGCAAATTCTTAGTGCAGAATTGTAGGAGCAGTTGCATCGGTGTTAGTTTTCTTTGTCTTCAGATAATACATTGCTGTAGGAGCTCAATGTATTTGAACACCATGTATTTATAGACTAAGAAGTGTCTTATCTTTGAAAATAATTCTCACTTTTGAGAATAATTTTTTAAAAAATTTAATTATTAATCTACAAAATTGTAGATAATTCATTTTTCAAGAAATTGGATTATATTGCTTTTTCAGAAGTGGTCATTTGAATTCTCACATCTTATTTTTCTCTTTATTCCCTGTCCATTGTATATAAATACTCAATTGTTTTGTGTACACTTAAATGTAGTTCCCCCTAAACCTTCTTCCAGTGCCTCTCGCAGCAAAGCTTTGTCCAAATTCAAAATGCTGGAGAAATTTCATATGGACAAGAAAGATGCATATTTAAACAGAGAAGAAGGAAACCTCACTTCTGACAGTCCAGACAATTCTGAGGGTAACAAATTTACCGTGTCTTTCATAGTATTACAAAAAGAAAATTGCTCAGTTATGAAGGCTTTTAATAGATATGTGTCATCACATCTTAATGTTTGAGTTCTTCTGTTTTCACGTTCTTAAACTTCTATCTGCAATTGTGACGGTTGGAAATACCTTTCTAAATGAAAATGGGGCTTTTATTTTATTTGGTTTTAAGCTCAGGACCTTAAGGAAGAATAGAGTGAATGCTGAGCCTTGCAAAGTGCTGCAGGATGGACAGTGTCAGGGTAGGGGCAGTGAGATCTTTGGAGGGAACTGCTGCTTCAAGAACTTGCTTCCATAGGTAACAAATACCCGGGTAAAACAAACCCCTCAGGAGTCAGTAGGGCTGGTACCTTTGTCAGTGCCTTCTGGTGTGGTCTGTGTAAGGGCACAGCTTCAATCTAAACATCCCTCGGGCAGACAGCAAGTGGGGAAGTGAGAAGGGTTAAAAGATTTTATGGTAGTATTTGGATAAAATGCGTGGCAGCTTTTCATCCAGCCTTTCTCCCTATGAGTCACTCTAAAGAACCCAGGCCTAACTGTGTGTGTTTCAGGGACAAGCGGAAGGGACTTGGTCCTGTCTATTTAACTAGTGCAGTATGTGGCTTGTAGCTTTTTTACAAGGAAGTTGTAAAGGAAGTTTCCTAGGGGAGAGCGATATTCTGACTGAGGAGAATCCATACACAGAGTTACTTAGGGTGACGTTGAACTCTTGCTATAAGGAAGCAATTGCACGTTGCAATTTGGGAGAGCTGAGGTTGCATATTTGGAATTTTAGTTATTCTCTTTTTTTCGCCCTTAGAGTGTTTCATTTGTATTCAAATAAGAAATATTAATTTCTCTGCAAGGTTTCTGTGTGTGACTGTCTTCCAAGTCAGTTTTCCCAAATGTTACATTTGCTCCATGGTGAACTTTAGGCTCATGAGCCAATATGAGGATGTAAAGAAAAGGTATGTAACAAAGTAATTAAAAATACTATAATCAAGGTGGTTCTCAATGTCTCATAGGAGAAACCAGATAAATGGTTGGCTGTAAGACTGTCACCTGAAAACTATTTGCATGGTACTTGGGTGTCCCAGTCCCGTCTTGCTCCCATGTTGCGGCTGCCAAGATGTACAGCCGGCCATCCTGCAGCTGCTTCCTAGGAATGTTTGGGAGCACTGGACGCTTCACCAGGCTCCAGAAGGAGCCCCAGCCCGGCCCACGGGGGAAGCTGATGAGGAGAGAGGCCCTTCCCGAAAAGCAGAGGATTTTGGTGTCTCTGAAAAGCAGAGACAGCCGGGAGCCAAGCAGGAAGAGCTCCGTGAGGCGGCCCAGGCCTGGACCAAGTCTCCCCACAAGCCTCTCTCATTACATTCCACACTGCAAGGCAGGATTTGCCAGGCCTCTCAGGTGGATTGGTGGCCTCGGATGCTTGCTGCTGGTGTTTAATACCAGTCATGTATTATGAGCTGTATCTAGCAGTGCTGATTATGCTGTTATGACTGCTCTGTGTAGATGCACTGTTCAGCTGTGATTAGTTTGATCTGTGTTTTGCAATTTAGATTCAATTGTCGCTTCTGGGCCTAATCAGAGTATCCTGGGAGCTGGCCTGGATACCTTGGAGGAGCAAGAAGAGAAAGAAAAGTTCTTTGCCAAACTTGAACAAGAAGCATCATCTACTCTTGACTACTCAAGATTAAATAAAGAGCTGGATTCCAATGATTCTGTAATACTAGCACCATTTGTACGGTAATTTGGAGAGAAGGAAAGTTATGGACTCTTATTAATGGGCATGTGTGATTTGGGCATTTGAAGACAAGAAGGGAGGTGGCTTTAGGAGTTGGATTTAGGAGTTAGGATTTTTAAATTATTGCTGGAATTTTCTTTTTTTTTGTATGATTTGATATGATAGAAAAAATCAGACTTTTAATTTTATTGTAAGATTGCTGATTGTAAGAAATATCAGAATTTTATGGGCTAAAAGTATTTATATGCTGCCAGGAAGGAACAGTTACCTTTTAATTTCATTTTTCTCAGAAAAGAAAACAATGAAAACGGAGAAGAAGAATCTGTACATGACGAGAAATCTGGTAATACTACTTTGAAACCATATTTGAAAATTCTTGCCTATTTCTGCCGTGTTTATGCTAAGAATTGTAAGAACTTCCTTACCCTGAATAACCAAATGAATGCTAAGGAATAGTGCTCCAACAGAAGTACAGGCTCCTTGGAAAATTTCAAACCAGGGCAGCAGGGGATGCACCATGGTGGGGTGTAATTGGATGCAAAGGGGAAATCCTACCACAATCTCTTGTTATTCTCCTCTCGGGGCTGCCTTTGGAACTAGTCTGGAAACTTGACTCTTCCTGGGGTTCAGCTTACAGCAGGACAACATCCCTAATTTTCTGAAATTTGCTGTTCTGAGCACTATCTAAAACAGTTGACTTCTTATCCCCAATCACCTGGACCCTTGAGGATGAAACCATATCTGAATGCTAAAGTGATTATTGGGGTTTTTTGTTTGTTTGTTTGTTTTTTTAGTAGTGATTTGCATTTATCTGCAGTTCTTATATCAGACTGTGTCAGCTTTCACATGAAGGCTGTGGCGCTGCTCTGCAGGCAGCAGGTTGGGTTTTGGAGGTGCAGGTTCTATGTGTGGAAGGGATTTTTAAACTGTTGACTCTTTTCTAAAAGAAAAACAGCAGAAAAGCTACCCACCAGAAACTGAAGAAAGCCTGAGAACTGAACAAAAATATGAAAGATGAGAGTTAAAATACTGAAAAAACACCAAACATTAAGAAACATTACTTCAACACACGGATTTTTTTTTTTCCTTTGAGAGCACACTCACCAAACTTTCCACATTCCAACCCAAAGTGAATGCTAAGTAGTGTAAAAGATTTTCAGTTAAGATCTGCCGCAGTGGTCGAGAGAGACGTGTAGAGCTGCTGCCTGCCTGCTGCTGGGGAAGCTGCATCGTTCCCTCCCAAAGTGAGGGGGACTGAACATGTCACAAATGCAAGGAGGCCTTGAGGGCTTGGGAATACAGTGTGTATGTCCACAAGACAAATATCATTGGAATTTGGAGGTGTTGTGTATGACTTCTGCAGTGGGTTTTTGTACCTCACAATTTCAGAACTTTTTTTGTTGCCTTTGCAAAAGGAGTAGTAGCAACAGTAGCTGCTGTTAGTGGAGGGACTGGAGTGCAAGAGGAGGTAGCTTTTGCCTTTGACTGCTTTATCTTCTTTAAATGTTCACTCTATTTGATGCTTTGTTTTTCTCTTCAGGCAGCTACAGTGAAGATTTTGAAGAGGAGACAGATGTTAATCCTGCCTTTAAAACTGAAGAAAATCAGGTAAATTGGAATATCAAACTTTTAAAGTTTGAGGTTTTTTTGGAGTTTTTTTTCAAGGAAGTTCAAAAACTAACACTGCTTTTTTCTTCTTCAGGAAGCAAACACTGGCATGCTGGCTAAAGGTAAATACAGACGTCAGTCAGTAGGAGAACATTAATTGTACCTCATTGAAACCTTCTTATCCGAATTTTAATTTTTAACTGATTTCAGTGTGTTATACTGAAAGTCCTTTGGACTGAAGTGATTAAAAGTAAATCGGTATGTCAGCACTTTGCAGTCATCATCCATGCAGTGCTTTGTTTTGTTACATCTGGTCAGTACTGAGAGGTTGCTGCTCGCAGGTGAACTTACTGCCATTAATGTCATCAGAATAATGTATCTAGTATGTATCTAGAATATGTAGAATATCTAGAGTATGTAGAATAATATATCTAGTAATGTATCTAGATCTAGTATCCATGATTAGACAATTAAGGTAAGGTTTGATAAGCTGTACTATCCACTGTAGATAAAGTAAAAATGAGAGAATTTTAACAGTTTAACAATTTCTTCTTGCATTTAATAGTATTACTTGACTCACAAGATTCAACTACAGAAATTGAAAAGGCTGCTGAAACCTCAGCTGTAGCTGAAACCTCAGCTGTAGGCGAGCAGTGTCTGCCTCGAGAAGCTACTGGAATTGCAATGAATGAAACAGGTAAAATTGTCCGTTTTAAATGATGGCTCTGGAGTATTAGCAGTGTGGAAATAAGGTTGTTCTAGATTGTCAGTGAACATAAAGCATTTACTTTTTAGTAACAAATCTTGAGAAGGAATTATTTTGGGGAGAATTGATACTTCTTTGGGCTGCCAGGAAGATTCCTTTTTAGCCTTCCTTTCACCAAAAGCAACTTTACAGTAAAGTTGCTTTTGACATTGCAGCCTGTTGGTGACTTCAGTGTGGTTTCCCTCTGTTATTGACTGTAGCTACAACTCTGCTTTGAACACAGTTGTAAAATAAATGGTTGTATGAAGATGCATTTGGGAGTGTTCCCTGTTTACATGCAGAGTGTGGCCCTGACAACACCTATTAAAGTAGTAGTCTCATAGGCTCTTAGTTCATTAATGAGAATGTACTTGTAAACAAATGCATGCAAACTGGAGATGAGGCTATTGAAGGCATGGTAGCATGTGCTGCTTAATAAGACAGGTGCTTAATTTTATAGTAGAAATTGGGATTTTGTTGTTGTTCTTGGACTGAAAATGCTGTTCTCACCTGATAACAGTCAATGCTAGAAACTGATATATGGGCTCTAGGGGTGACTTTCCAAAACAAAATTCTGTAGTATCCCTTCTGAGCCTGCATTTGTGTTTTTGTCCTCTTGGTGCCTTGCAGGCACTTCCCATGGGCACACCAGGAGCGAGCTGGAGGCGCTGCACGAGGCCTATCACCACGTGGGGCAGTCCTGGGAAGAGCCCGATGAGCAGAAAGCAGATGCTTCTGGAGGGGCAGAATGTCTAGTGCCAAGTGCCTCACAGAGTAACGACCTCTGCTCAAAAAATATATCAACTACTGAATCAGGTGAGTGTCTCAAAGAAAGGCAAAGCTGCATTTCCAAGCTGTTTTCCCAGGTTCTTCTGTCTAGGTTAAAAAGAGCTGCAGTACTTCTGATTATGGCACTGAGGAGCTGCAGGACACAATCGGGGCATGCTCTGATCTGGCTTTCTCACTTCAAACATACAGCTTTTCTAAACTGGGGAGGTGTAAGGGTGATATATATGGGTATCAAACAAAAAAAATCCTTGAAATTAAAATGAGCTAATCATTCATACTCAGTGCACTGATCACATCCTCTGCATTAAAGGAAAATTTTAAAAATGGCATATATTGTATAAGCATGTTAAGTGAGCGCCTGCTTTAGCAATAACAGTCTCAGAGTGGTTAGAAGGAAGACATGGATTATATAAAGATGTAAAATGAGAAAGATGAAAATGAGTCATCTTTATGCCATTTATTAAGTGTTTTTAATATTAGCCCTTTTGGAAATGCGTTTGATAAGATTTTAACTTATTATTCTGCATTTATTAGATTTACCTACTGTAGAAGAACTGATGAAGCCTATTAAAGGAGATTTGTATAGTGCCAGAGGTTTCAATTTGGAGCCTGAAAGGTATCTGTTTCAGAGTATATGTTTTTAAGGATTGTAATAACTTAAGTCCTGCTTTGCTGTTGTGTCCAGAGCAGGGAGTGCTGGGCCTGGAGCTGTCAGGAACAGGTTCTGCTCTGCAGAGGGGCTTTGGGAGGGGGACGTGTCCTTGCCCCCAGCAGCAGTTCCCCTTCGTTGTCTCACTCGTGTTGATGCTGGGCTTGCAGGTGTTAGTACCACAAAAGCAGTCACCCCTGCTTTATAGGAGTGAATCTTTAGCCCAGTCTTTTAGCTTTTTAACTGGATCAGGTGGAATGCTATTCTTAAAAGTAGCTAGAGCCTCATTCAAATTCAAGCAGTCTTTACAGATCATACCTAAAGGGAATATTGCCCTCTTTTTCCAAAGCAACCAAAATGCAAAGGACAGGAGCGTTGCTCTCTGTGGCTTCATTCCTTTCTCTCGCAGCCCCGTGAAGCTGCCAGGCAGCCCAGCAGACGAGCTCGTCAGCCACGAGCCATCCAAGGAGCGTGAGGGTGACACGGTCTGGGAGACAACCCTGCCTGAGGAATTCAGCAGAGGAGAGAGCCTCTCCCCTCGCAGGGCTGTGAGTGAGGGTGGCCTTGGGGCAGTGACCAAGAAGGAAGCCGAGACGGATGAACTACAGCCTGGCTCACTGAAGGGAAAGATAGCACAAGACTCTCTGCTTTCACAGCTGGTCAGCCAAAATAACCAGGTAATGTCAAACAGCTCTTAAATATCTATTTTCACATCACCTATAATTTGAAGATTACTGTCCTACGCTTAGGAGCCAAGCAGCAGTTGGTGTTTTCCTTGAAGTGCCCAGGTTGCCTTTGCTGCTGGTGGTGGAGCTGGGGGCTTTCAGCGGGTGCATTGCAGAGGGTGGGCTGCAGTGATCCAGGGAAGGCCCTGGGCTTCCCAGAGCGTCCGAACCAGTGGTTCGTGTTGGTTTACATTAGGCACGCTCCTGCAATATGAAAGGATAAGAAGTTCTCAAAATATTCTCATATTTTTTTCTGCTTATGGTCTGTTATCCTAGTAACCAGCTCTGTATTCTCTTGTATTAGTGAAAGTTGCCCTTTCTAATTAAAGGCCACACCAAAAACTAAAGCCTGGATTTTAAAAAGTGTGCTCTGTTACAGGCACTTCAGTCTCCATCCTCGAAGGGTGAAAGACTGGAATCAGTGACACCTAAACAAATGTGCAAGAGTATCAGAAGTACAACTCCCTTGCATAAAAAGAAATCGCCACACAGTCCTCGTGGCTTGGTTCGGAGCTCTGGATATGGGAAGTCTGCTTCTCTTCCCAAACAGCCTTCCCCGTCTAGTGAAAAGAAAGCGCTGAAAGAAACCTTCAAAAAGTCCAGCCTGAAAGCCAGAAGCTCAGCAGATAAAGCAGGACCTAAAGGTAATTCTCTCTTCAAATGGACTCATAGGGAAAAACAGAATCACCAGCTCATTGTTCCTATTTCAGTATCCATCTATGAGAAAACTAAACTATAGTTAACATATATGGTAGTTACTTTCTAGGGTGAACTTCCCTGTGGGGGTTTTTGTTGTTGTTTCTTTTTTGTTTTCTAACAGCCTCCTCGGGGTGCTGCTTGATGCACCCAGCACGTGTAGGTGCACCCAGTACATATTCCATCTCCTCGTAAACTGTTTCTACTGCAATAAATTGCTGTGTCTGATCTTCCCCATGGCTTGGAATATGGGCATCTGTGTATACTTAGATAGCTGGCCAGGCCACTGACTGATCTTGCTTCATGAAGGGTTTATTACCCACCTATTCACTTGTTTCATGATGCCTCATTGCTCTCAGGTTTATTTCAAAATTGAATTTATTTCAAAATCCTGGTATATTTTCTAATTACGTTCACACAGGGAGCACAGGGATGGGTCAGAATGTATTTTTACAAGTACATTATAAAGAGCAAAGTGCTGAATGTAATTTTGTTCTATTTTTCCTTGTGCCTAAACGAGAAAGGCTTATTTGCTACGAGGATTATACGGTCTGCACCCAAGGAAGCAGCTTTGAAGGAGGAGATGACCAAAGGTGCACCCGGTGTCTCAGCTGCTGGTGCTCGTCCACTGCAGGTCGTGGACTCCCGCAGCCAGGATCAGCGTGTGAGTGACAGTTACTGTTGCTGCTAGTTACAGTCCATTGAACCTGGTTTGCAAGCCTGTTTTGTAAAGTTCTTTTAATAATTGCCTAATACTGACAAGATTGGCAAATGCTGAAATATTGAATAAAAAATTCAGTCAGATATTGAGCTTTGCTGTTACATGCACAAGTGTAACTGTACTGCTTTTCAGTTCCTTGGCTAATTCTGTTAAGTTTAACTTCAAAATGATTATCTCATTAGAGAGGGATACGATTTTACATGAAACTTTTAAGTGTAAGCCTCTGTCAGGAGTGCTAACTAGGGCTTCTGTTTGGTTTTGCGCTTCCGTCGCATGCAGCGTTTAAAGAAAACTTCTGAGCTCTCCCAGATGAATGAATTTGCAGTCATGGATTTTTCTTCCGCCTTAGAAATTTTAAAAACATTTATTTAATGAATCCCTTGATCACTGCTGTTTTGCAGTGGCCAAAATGTGTAGTAGATTAACCCTGGTAACTGTGTAGTGGCTGTTGTCTCCTGGGGTGTTTATTTCCCATTTGCGTGGAGCGATTATTCCCCATACACATTTAGGAAATGGGGAAGTAGCTCATTAGGGAAAACTGTGAACATTTTGGGGGTGGTTTTGGTTTGGCAGGGTATTTTTTTTTCCCCTCTCAAGCACATTATGTGGTTGTCCAGAGTCAGACCAGACAGTCAAATAAACTGGATCGCTGGGGAAGGCCCCTGTGCGCGCTCGGATTGGGGCCATGCATTTGGATCGGAGTGACGCTTCCCTCGCTTTCTCTCCACCAGGACTCGCCGTTTCCCCCCGCCAGAGGCAGCGAGAGAGAGCTGTATTTGCTGAGACGAGCCCAAGCTGCCGAGGAGGAGCTGAGCGCGGCCCGGGAGGCCGTGGTGCAGCTCGGCCGCAGCGCCTCCCAGACGCGGCAGGAGATGCAGGCCGACATGGAAGAGCTCAAAGCTCGGCATGAAAAGGAGCTCTCCAGGCTGGGGCAGGAGAATTACGTCCTTCAGAGTAAGGTGCTGGATGGGGTCTTGTCTCCTGCTGCTGTAGAACGGGAGAAGTCTGAATGTTTAACGATGTTATTTGCACTTAGTTGTCCATGAGCAGAAAGCATTTGTATAGATATGTTGCTGGTTTGTATGTGTGCACGGACTAGGAGAGTTACTCTCCATAAGAGGTGATCTTTTTTCCTACAGAAATCCTGTTAAAATCTTCTTATCCCGGATTCTCTTGCTTAGCTATCGTGACAGTTCTGCAGCAGGCTTTTTGCAAAGATTTAACATTAATTAAAAAAATAAACAGGAATAACAGATTAAGTGATGCAGCTGGTTACTGGGAAATACTCTACATCGAGTTTATTATTTTGCTGCATTTTTCTATGTTGTGTTATGGCTGTATAGGAAAATCGTGTGGGTTATTCCAGTATACCTAAATATAGGTATTCCAGATGTACCTCCCTGCCTGAATACCCTAGGAAAAAGGGCAGTGTAGTTCCCCTGTTCCATTGTTAGTTTTTCCCCAGCTTTACTATACTGTGTTCCTGTTTATCATGAAAGCAGGACAAACAGCCAGTGTTACTACTGTCTCATGCCTTAATGAACATTGCTTTACTTACGACATTCTCTGAATTAAAAGTAAAATCTTGTGCAGAATTCTGTGTTGGTAAGAAAACTTTCCTATTAATTGTGCGTATATTTCTTAAAGTTAAGAAGCATGGAAGAGCTGGCTAAAGGAAAGAGGTGGATCCATGAAACAGCAACAGTTCCTATCACTGAAGAAAAACTGGCACAAATAAAAAAAGAAATTGAAGATCAGGAGGTCATTATCCAAGGTTATCAACAGGTAGGGTGTCCAGCACGGTGTGCTGCGTGCTCGCTGTGTGCTCCACAGCCCCAGTTTGTCACCAGTTCCTACTTTGCTGTTTAAAGCAGTTTTCTTGCTATCTACAGAGTGGAACAAGTTTTCTCTACGAAGGGCACAAAATATATTGTACTTTAAAGATATTTCTTTCCCCAATTAGATGTGATTGTCCTAAACTCTAAAATAAGGTGACTTCTGAGTTGGAAACATGTCCAAGCTTTTGGAAAAAAAGATACTTTTTTCCCAAAATGGAGTAGAAAAATAGAGTAATTCTGGAGGATTCTGGTTTCAAGATGCAATCAACTGCTTGTATCATGTGAAATACAGGGAACCGTGTTCATCTGCCTCACGTGCAGCTCTTCAAGTTAGAACTAGAACTAGACCCTGCTGGTCTGAATGACCCTTTGAAGTGCTTGCAGCCCCTCAGCTGAACCAGCTTGCCAGGCCAGTGCTCAGCAGCTCACACTAGCAGAGGCACCAAATCCTGCCAGGTTAGGGCTCTGACCCTTCTTACCCAGGGAGGAACATGTGGGTGGCCTGCCTGCCCCTATCCTGTGGGTGCTGTTACTGTGTGGTTGGTGCCTTTGCAGAGGAGCTCCCTTGGAAAGGAACAACGTTCCTGTTGTCAATCTTAGCACCTACTAAGCACTTGCCTTAGATTGCAGAGGTTACCTCAAAATACTTAAGGAAAAAAGCTAATGAAAGTAGATTTCTATTTTAGAAATTTGGTAATAAAGCAGTTGCTTTCGCTGCTGCAGGGTTGCAGAAGGCCAACAGTGATTTGTTTGAATGGATAAAAGAATAATTTATCAACTTTCTTTGTCTCATCTTAGGAAAATGAAAAGTTATACAAACAAATGAAAGAGCTGCACATTCAAAACAAGAAAAATGAGGAACAAATGTTTAAGGAGAATCAGTGTTTAATGTCTGAATTAATAGCTCTAAGGTAGGCTTATTTAAGCATCTGACCTAATCATCATTTCAGTGGTGGCTTGTTTTTGTTGTTAGGGAATTGCTGCAGTCTGTCAGATCGCTGCTGCTGCTCGGTGTTCCCTGGCTTTGCGGGTTTGTTTCTCCCTGCTGGAGCAGGGGGTGGGACTAGATGATCTCTAGAGATGATCCCATCCAACCTGAACCATTCCAAACTGTGACTCTGTGAGATTTGATTTTCTTGATTACAGGCTCATAGTCTCTCTGATCTTACACACCTGTGGAAAGGCTGTTCTTCCACAGGGAGATCATTCCAGTGCCAAAATATAAATATTCCCCCTATTCTTACCAGAATGTATAGCACATATATTGCAGCCATTCTGCTATTGCAGCTCTGCTCGTGTCAAAATGTTTTGATATTGTTGTAACTGGTGTGGTAGGTCGGGAGTGCACTGCACTGAAGGATGAAAGGATAGTTAAGAGAGCTGCAGGTCTCATAAGATTTGCCTTCCAGGCCAGTGGCGAGCCTGACACCTGCCCTGTTCCTCCTTTATTGGTCTCTGCTTGTGAGAAGCCCTGGATGAGTTTTGCCGATGTTGGGTTTGGGGCTTTTCATTTTGTTCCTTTTTGGTTTTTTAACATACAGCTGTAATATGTTAAACTGCCAAACTGCATAACTGCTTTTGCTGCTGTCTCTTTTCTTTAGAGAACGGGTGAATGTGACTAATCCCGAGTCACGGGTGATGCAGGCCGCCGAGGCAGCCGGAGAGCAGAGCTTCACGGAGCTGCTGTCGGAGCTGCGAGCGGCCCAGGTAGCTCCGCGCCACGCGGCCCACCCCTCGCTCCTGTCAACAGTGCACAGCCATCCATACGGGAGAGCAGTAGCATAAATAACTGCTGCTCTTGGTACAATATTAATCATTTGCCACACTTAATTAATTATCACGCGTGTCTGGTCAAAGGGAGGCTCGGGAGGAATCACGGATGCCCGGGAGGCCCGTGCCGTGCCCGCTGGGAGCCCCGAGGCAGCCAGTGGGAACCTGCAGACAGGAGGGGTCTGCGGAGCTCACAGCTTTCCAGCTGACAAGCCAGATCCTGATGGGATTGCTGCTCTGCACCAAATACCACCTACTGCCAACAGCAAAACCTCCTCGTTTTGCACAATGAATAGTGGTGGCTGTAGAAGACAAGCAGGCAAAAAGCTTTAAGATAACAACCTTTCTAGACTTTGTTGGTTTGTATAGTCCTGGAAAGATGTAAAAGTTTGGAAGGAGAAGCTTCTTTTTAATCTAGCTTGTGGCTTTGTGAAAAGATAGGACATTTGAGTTGTGTTCTTTAGTATTAGAAACAGACAAAACTTCTTCAGTGACCTTTTCCAAGGAGAGCTCTGGAATGTTTTCCACTTCTAAGAGATAGTCTTTACTTATCTCTTAAGATAGGAGGTCTTTACAAGGGGAGTCAGGTTTCACTGTGGCTAACTGCAGTTTTCCTGTGCTGTCCTGTATCCAGAACTGGGAACAAGACCCAGCCTAGAAATCTAATGGCTGCCCCAGTTTAACACAACAGGTGCGAGACAGTCTCTTTATGGAGGAAAAAGCATGTTCATATTTTTGTATGAAAATGATGTGTTTGGTTTTTGTTGCCTTAAAACTTTCTCTAAAATGAATAAACTCTCTAAATTCTGATTCTCTAAAACTTTCTCTAAAATGAAGAAGGAAGAGACTAAATTACAAGAAGAGATAAAACGTCTTAAACAGGAAAAACAAGCTCTTGAGGTAGACCTGGGACAAGCAAAGAAGGAGAGAGATCTAGCAAAAGTGCAGATTGCTTCCACGTCAGGTAAAGGACCCTTATTTTGCTAATAATTGTGCCTCGTTTTATGTTCCTTTAAGTAATTAAAATTTGCTTTTTATTAAAATATGACTCAGGATCCAATATATCTAAGCTACTTCCAGATGGTGCCTAAACCTCTCGGAAAACATGCAGTGAAAGAGATTCCCGAGTATTTCCTGGGCAAATCTATTCTGGTAACTAACCAACCTCTTGCTTGCCGAGTTGGACTGATTGCTCATATTCCAGTGGGCACGGAAAACAGACAATTCCATTTATAAGGCAACTCTGTTCATATGGGAAGACTTACTCTGAACATTGACTTCCTCTTTAGATCTACTTACCACAATTTTGTCTGATTTTACCTATAACTTATGCTGTGTGACTCGACCTTATTATTTTTTTTCTAAACTCTTTCCCATTTTGACTTCAGCCTCCTTAATGAGAAGGCAGCCAGAAATTGGCCTCCTTCAGCTTCCAAGAGCAGGCATCACAGTGTGAAAAGTTGGTTTCCTCCCTCTTTTCAAAAGCGTAATCCCAAAGCGAAGAAGTGTGGTTAATACATAGAGGGGTGTGAAGGGTGGTTAACACAAATAGATGTGTGTTCTGCTATCCATGAGCCTACTGATATTTTTTTTAAATAAAACTTGCCCAAGGATGAGTTCATCTGGGATTTCTGCTTCTGTGGTGGATAGTGAACCACTATTGCCTATGATATTGCATATGAGGGGGAGAGGTTTTTGAAATACATAAAAAAAATCTGGTTTTTGCTCTGGTCTTAATTTTATTAATTGTCAAGGTGATGAATATATGGAAAGTACCTCAAAAGGATGCTCTTGAGTAATTGTTTCTAAAAATTCTTCAGTAAAACGATACTGAGGGGTCTTTATTTTGTAGGTGAGAAATCATACGAATTTAAAACTATGGAAGACTCCTACAAGCAGGAAATTGCTCATTTAAAAAGAAGACTTCAATGGTATGCAGAAAATCAGGATCTCCTGGATAAAGATGCAGCCCGTCTTAAAGATGCAAAAGAAGAAATTGAGAAACTAAAGCTCGAGGTGATGATATCCTTTGTTTGATTGATTGTTTTTAAGAAATTGGAGCTTTCTAGTTTTAAGAATGGGAACTTTGTGCTTCACAGTGCTCCCAGCTTTTTCAAGCGTGTATGTGTGTGTGAATTCTTCATAACCTTCAAACCAAACGTCCCTGGCTTTATTTTGGAAATGGGGACTCGTTGCGTGTCGGAATCACAAGTGCCTGACGCCTGGAATTGTTTCCTTACGGTGGTGTGTGGGGATGCTTCTGGAAACAACTATCCTATCATTCCTTAAGACTTATCAGCAAATTTGTTGCCCCCAAAGAGCAAATCCACCTTTTACATTAGGAATCTGGAACCCCCCTCCTGCCCTCTCTTTCCCCCATCTAACACAGGCAAGATTTCCTCTCTCAAGCATCAGTTCTAAGTTCCTCAGCCTGAATTGTGTACAGGAGAAGGGAGGAAAAAAAGAAATCAGATAAAAAGAAGTGAAACCAGTGAATTGTGTCTTAAGTTCTGAGATGTAAATTGCCTGTTAGTAGAATTGACTTCAAGTTCCCAGAAATAAAGAATCTTACTAGTGATTAAATATGGTCTTTATGTACCATCTTTATATATGGTCTTCTATAATATTAATTATAGTCTCGGAAGTTGCTTGATAGCTTGTAGTGGGTGAGATCAGATTAAAGGAGGTGCTTCTGAAAGAGAAGCCAGGGAGAGGAGGCCACTTAAAGGCCACCGCATCCAGCCTCGGTCACCGTATCTGAGGTGCACATTCAACTCTTAGCAATATGTCATTGGCACGAGAGAGAATATTTTAGCTGCATTTTTTCCCTCAAGACAGACTGATAATTTGAAAATGGTGATGGGCAGTTCTCATAGAAAGCAGCCAAGGAGTCAAAACCTCCTCAGTGCTGGCCAGAGCTCTGCTCTTAGCGCTTTCCAGTGCAGCAGTGCTCGGGGAGAAGGCAGGACAGGAGGGCTTGTGGTTTCACAGACCTGCGCAGTGAAGCAGTGGCTGGTACAGTAGGAAGCCCAAGTGCAGACTGAAGCTTCGAGTCTTCATGGCCAGGTGTTATGGGAGAGCAGAAATGTCGCCTCTCCAGCTTCTTCCCCCAGTGCTGACTCGGGATTCATTGCAGCACAACACAGTGTCCCTTTTGGTTCTTCTGCACCTCCTCGTGGAGCACAGCCCTGCAAAACACAAACCGGTTCCGTAACTGATGCTACATTCAAGCAAGACAAATATCCATAGCATTATTTCATATTATCCAAACCTGTGTCCTGGCAGGAAGGAGCACAAGATTCGCTCTTTCAGACAAGAGTGCCCCTCAGCTGAAGTTCTCTTCCTTGTAACTTGTTTCAGCTTCTTTCATCTGAAGGTGTAACTTAGTTCACGAATCTGAGGAACAATTAGAAATTACTTAGAGATTATTGTTATCAGTCCTTAGGTTGTAGATGCTCCCATTATACTATGTCAATTTGAGACTTTTGTACCGTTGTATTAGAGCAAAGTATCTGTGAATATAAACTGCAGCTTATTTTCTCATAAATTGGGTAGGTGGAGAAGCTCCGAACTGAAGCTGGAAATCAGGGAGTGCAACAGAAGACGCGCGTGAGGGACCGGGCAGCAGATGCCAAAAGAATTCAGGATCTCGAGCGACAAGTAAGCGGGTACTGCCCACCTAGCGCACTGGCCCTGACTGCAGCATTGACTGTCTCTCAGCATTTGCTAGATTCCCTGTGAAGGGAAGACAGGGAATGATAAAATAACTTTGTACTACGGATAATTTTGCCACAGTAAGCAACAGCGATGGACTTCATAAAGAACTTGATGCTCTCATAAGCTGTTTATTAATATCTCCTTATATTGGTGAATGCAATAAAAGCATACATTGATGTTGGGGGAATAATCTCAATAATGTTATGAAGTCTCTGTAACATAGTTGAAAATTTGAGTGGAATGTGGAAGTGTGAATTTAAGGTCAGGAAGCAGTAAATGTTTTAAGTCTAGACCGTAAATATTGTTAATGCTTTAAAAAAAGCCATATAAAAGATCCATCTGATATAAAATAGAACAATATTCTGTTTAAACAGAAGATGTTGGAAAAGCCGGTGAGAGATGGCAAGTCCTGTCTATTTAATGTTGAACAGTCTCAGCTTAATCAATCTTACTTTCATAAGATACTAAAATGCTCATTAGTCTTACCACTTCCTCCTGTATATGTACGTTCAGTTTAAAAAGCTCATCCTAAAGCCCTCTTTTCATAATGTAACTGCAAGCAAGGTGAAAAAACAGTATATTGAAAAGCCCTAAAACAGCCCTCTCTGGCGCTCAGTCCTCCACCAGGTTTCGGGTGGATTGCACTTGTTAGCATTCTGGGGCTGCACTTCAGTTTGCTTCTCATCTGAATTTTCTCTTTTTGACTCCTGACTTCATTTTCTTTTTGCTAGATCAAAGAAATGGAAGGGATTCTAAAAAGGAGATACCCAAATTCTTTGCCTGCTTTGATTTATGCTGCTGCTGCTGCTGAGAAAAGTAACAATCTTTCAGCTGGAACCAACATGGTTGATTTTTTGGAGAGAAGAATAAAAAAGTTAGAAGCAGAACTGGAGAGTAAAGATGATGAAGCCAAAAAGAGTCTCCGCACTATGGAACAACAATTTCAGAAAATAAAGGTAAAAATTGCATTCGTATCGAGTAGCCGCAAGTAATGCAGTGAGGTGAGTGGAGTTGAAAACAGACCGGTGGTGAAAATAGAAGGCAAAGACCATGTTCAAGGAGAAAATGCTCAGAAAAATTTATGACCAGAGTATTGGTGGCTTGCTGCATCTGAAACACAAATAGCACCGAAATGCTTTGTTTAGAGGACTGAGAGGGCATGTTCCTGGGGCACTGAGGTGTTCTCAGCAATGGGGCAGTGTGGGTTTCATCCCGTGCATCAAGAGAAGCCACTTGCTTCATTCCTTGTTTTGTCAGAGGCGGCTGTTTCAAAAGGCATCTGAAATTTCTTTTCTACAAAGAGTGCCCAGGAACACTAATCATTCGATTAGCCATAAATTATTTGACAGCAAGTCTTGAAATTTGTATTAGGAAGTGTTTAAACTTGGCATTTTAGTTTATGGCGAGGTAGACTGCCCAGGTTCTTAACGAAAAGGAGAGGAAAATCCTGCTGAGTTGCTGTTCTTTCTCCCATGCGGATAAGTTCTCGTGGCTGCCGGAGGCTCCCCAGAGGTAAAATCCTGTTGGCTTCTCCTCGCTCGCTAGGGAGAAAGACTCTGCCTCTGAATTCAGGCTTCTCTTTTCAGAAAGGAGGGGAGAGAAAGAAAGGTAACAGCAGCGAGCTGTCCTGTGGGATTTATTGGGATGACTTAAAAAATATGAAGTGGAATTTGTCAAGTATGCGACAGTAATAATTGCAAGCTGACATATGGCTGATGCCTGATGGATTTTTAAACAAAGATAGAGATTTCTTTTTGTATTTCTTTTGGCAGTCAAGTGGGATATTAATTTGGGTCTCCAACTCGTTACTGTCTGAATGGGATAAAATTAAAAATGAAATGGAAGGTTTCATGCCAATTTAATTTTCATTTTCATAGCTACTGTCCTCATTGTCAGAGGAGGATCAATTTGTAGTAGTTGTGTTGAGTAATTCTGTTGTTAGAGCTGATTTATGCTCGTTCAGGCTCATTTATTCACTCAAATGCCTCAGTTTCTGAGCTGATTGAGTGCAGCGTTGCTAGTAATACTGGTACATATCCCCGTGTTGGAAAACCTTGCTTGAGGTATGTGGCACCTTTAGAGAAGAGTATTGAGAGGCAGCAAGGAGCTGCGTGGCTGAGCAAGGTGCTTTCTGCTCCCTCCTCCTGCTCCCCTGTCCCAGGTGCAGTACGAGCAGAGACTGGTCGAGCTGGAGCAACTGCTCGCCTATAAATTCCTGAGCGCATCGCCCCAACGGAGCAGCGAGGGAGCCAGCATCACTCAGCTCGAACGGGAACTGCGGAGCCTGAGGGAGATCCACCAGGTCACCGTGGAAAACCTCCAGTCTGAAATTGAGAATCTTAAAAGTCAAAATTCGCAGCTAACACTTGGGAGTAAAAAGGACAATAAGGACCTGCAGTCAGCAGATTCTCCGGTGAAACAGGCGAACACGAAAGAGGGATGGTTAAAACTCAGTCAAGAACTGGTCGCCAAGAACAGAGAAATACAAAACCTCACCAAAACGGTAGAGAAGCTTCAGAAGGAAAGGATGGTGATGCTCTCCGATGATAATTTCAGACACAAGGCTGCAAATAAGGAAACATCTCCGGAGAACTTGAAGAGGAGCAGTGTGGCCGGAGAGGCGCCGGGTCCCGGCGAGCCCTGCGAGGGAGCGGGGCCGGGGCGGCCCTGGGCGCTTCCCGGCGTGGAGATCTCGGAAGTGCTGCAGCAAAACAAGCAGCTGAAAGATGAGCTGGAAAGACTGTCTCTGGAAATGAACCAGCAGAGGGTAAAGTCTCAAGCAACGCTGGCTTATTCCGAAAATAATGTGAGAAGGTGAGTGCTTGATTGAAGCCTTGGTGAAGTATTGGTTGATAGAGGGTTGTAATGAGACATGTTAACATACCAGTCGTGTGAAGGTAGCTTAGAACATGGCTGATGGGCTCCATAAACTTCATTTGTTGCTCTCTGCGTTCCCAGCGCAGCAACGACTCTGCCTCCAGGCTTACATTAATCCTGTTGGTCGGTGCTCCAAAACGTCATAGTTCAGAGTAAAAGGATCTCGGTATAAATACTGCATGTGTTGTGCAGTGTTAATATTTGTTATATTGGGGACCCTCTTTCCTTATATACTGGGACCCTCTTTCCTGGAATATGCCTGGCCAAACAGAAGTTTTGTCTCACCTGGTCCCTCATAGCTCCCCTTTCACTCCAAGCAGGGCACGTGGGCACCTTTAACCCCTTTTATCCTAAAGGAGATACGGGATGTATAACTGCAGGATTATGATTTTTCAAGCAGTCCTTCTCCGTGTTTCCCAGGGAGAGCCCTAGGGTGAGGGCCCCGAGCTGCCTGCCCTGCTGCCCCCCGGGGCTTTGTTAGTGCCGGGCTCGCCTCGCGGCTGCGCCCACCGAGCCCCGCGCACGGTGCCAGCCCCGGCGCTCGCGGGGGCGGCTCCTGCTTCGGCAGAGCTGCCTGCCCCGAGCTGCCCTCACGCCTCTCGTTTCCTCTGCTGCTGCCAGGGCGCAGGAGGCCGCGGCCGAGTTCGCGGCGGCGCTGAAGGCCGCGCACGAGCGGGAGCTGGAGCAGCTGCTGCGGCGGCAGGCGGCGGCGCCGGCCCCGGCGCGGGTGGCCGAGCTGCACGGCAGGATCAACACGCAGGAGGTGCGGCGGCCTCCGCGGGATCTCACACACAACCATGGAAGGGCCGAGGTTGGAAGGGACCTCTAGAGATCATCCAGGCCAACCCCCTGCTCCAGCAGGGACACCCAGAGCACGGGGCACAGGGCGGCATCCAGGCGGGTTGGAAGATCTCCAGAGAAGGAGACTCCACAGCCTCCCTGGGCAGCCTGTGCCAGGGCTCTGGCACCCTCACAGGGAAGAAGTTCCTCCTCACATGGAGATGGAACTGCCTGTGTTTCAGCTTGTACCCATTGCCCCTTGTCCTGTCACTGGCCACCACTGAGAAGAGCTTGGCCCCTTCCTCCCCACATTCTCCCCTCAGCTACCAATGCACACTGATCAGATCCCCTCTCAGCCTTCTCTTCGCCAGCTTAACCATCCCAGCTCACTTAAGTCTTTCCTCACAGGAGCGATGCTCCATTCACACTCGTTAGTCACTGCTGTCCTTAAAGCAACCCAGCAGCCAACTTCATCTCCCTTGGCCATAGGATGTGTTGTTGCAACAATGAGCTTGGCTGCGTGTGGTTGTGCGATAAAATCCTGGGGGAACATGTGCATGGTGGGGAAGCAGCGGGAGCTGCCGGATTCAGATGCTTTGCCCTCACCCGAGGAAGGTGCCTTGCAGGTCAGGGCTGGTTTGCAGATATTGCAGGTGCATCTGCTGTTGCACAAGCCAAGTACCTTTACTCTGCAGACACACAGCTTAGACCCGCAGCCTGACAGCATTAATCACATTTTAGTGTGTAATTCTCCTGAGTAGGTTTTCAGATGTTATCGTGGGTATTTGTGTTCATGAAGAATCTCTTCAATCCTGTAGGTGTTAATAGAACATCTCCAAGAGCGAATCGGTGAGCAACAGAGACAGCAGGAAGCCCTGCTAGTCTCACAAATGCGAGAGGAGCTCCTGCAAAAAGAGGTACATCTGGATTGGGGTGGGGGTACCTTGTGCTGGTAGAATCCTCTTCCTTTTTGTCCTTTTAAAGTTTCAAATATTATATAGTAAAACAAGTCTAAAAATAGGATATTTGGTGCTTTCTAGGTGAGCTAGGTATGAAAATGCAATGTATTTTTCTAACGTGAACAGGAAAAGGGCACAATTCGCAGGAGATTATACTTTGATCTCCTTTAATTTTCATGAAAGCTTCTGGCATCTCTGTGAAAAGTGATCAGAAGGTTAAATCAAACACTGAGAGTTGTGGGCATGAAACAGACCCCAGGACTTTATTAAAAGGCTGCTTTAATTCAGTGTTATTTATACACAAAGACTCAGAACAAAGTCTTTTTTTTTTCTTCATCCTTCATTACTCCCAACCTGATGTGGGTGAGCGTGTTCTTGGCTAGGGCCTTTGCCTGTGAAAGTCGGTCTCTCAGGAAGAGAAATTTAATTCTCATGGTTCTTCTGAAATTCACTTCTGTGGTTTTGCAACAGGTACCTATTTTTTCTGTTTCCTCTTTTGATAATCTAAAAATTCCACTTGCCAGTCTTTTCATCTCGGGGTTAACATTGCTAAAATGTCCTGAGTCTTTATCTCAAGCTTTTTGACTTTTTATGCATTTTTTTTTTCATTTCGGAGGTGCTGCCAATTTTATTTTTATTGCCTGCTGTTCAGGAGCACAAGACAACTTCCTGCTGTATGAATATTACTAATGTAACTTTATTTTGATAATATAGTGGTTAACCACAAGTGTTGCTAAAACAAATTCTTACTTTCTGTAACCAAATGAGAGCTTCGCACGTTTAATCTTATTTAGTGCCCTCCTTTCGAACAAATGCAAGAGGCATCAGGGCACGTTCAGTGCATACTTAGTGTCATTGATCTGAATCTCGAGAAGCTCATTCAATAGTTTTCTTATTGATACAACATTCCAACTGTGTTCCGATAAATCATTATACAAAGGTCAGGGTTTGTAAGGGCAGATCTCTTATCAAATAAGCTCTCTGTTTGATAAATAAGGACTCGTCTTCCTGATCTACTGATAGGTGTTTCTGTCTCTCTGTACAAAACTTGTCTCGGTCCAGTGACCTGCATGTGTTCGTGGATGGATGGATGGATGGATGGATGGATGGATGGATGGACAGGCTTCCTCCTGGGGGGATAGGTGGGGGCAGCAGCCCAGTGCTGCTCAGGAGGGCTGTTCCCCGTGTGCCCACTGAAAATTCAGCAGCAAGGAGCCAGGGCTGCCCAAGCACCTGAAGAGGGTTAGCAGTGATGAGCTGCCGGCTTTGGGAACTACAGGTTGTGGCAGAGGACTGAGGACTTGAGAGCTTTCCATATGATTTTACTGGTACACGTTAAGAAGTTGGGGAGGAAAAAAGACTTTAACTTGATATTTCTGTATTTGAAACATGCAAAAATAAGGATGAACTAGCAGAACTTTCTAAGAATTTCTGGAGGGTTATGAAATTCTAATTCACTGGGAAAGTTGATTTGACCTGCAGATTATTAGACTAGAGGCGTTTGTAATGACACGTGTTCAGCAACGTGTTTCCTGCCTCCGTTTTGAGGTGGCGAAGCTGTTGGAGGAGCTGCGCGAGGCCAGGGAGAGCCAGAGCCCTGCGATGCGGCACTTCCTGTGCCTGGAGAGGAAGGTCAAGCAGCTGGAGAGCAGGCGCGCGGCGCGGGAGCAAGAGCTGCGCCAGGTGAGGGCGTTTGTTGTGCTCCAGGGGCAGAGGCCTCGTGCTGCAGGTCCCTGCTCCCACAGCCATTCCCAGCAGAGCTCCCTGGGGTGCCAGGCAGTGCAGCTAGTTACCTGGAGCTGCCAAGATCAGCGGCACGGGACTTGCACTCAGGCCCTGCTTCAGTCACAGGATGCCAGAAGGGTTGAGGCTGGAGGGACCCCTAGAGACCGGCCAGTCCAACCCCCTGCTCCAGCAGGGACCCCCAGAGCACGGGGTGGCAGCCAGGCGGGTTCTCAAGCAGCAGGTGGCAGCAGTGGCCGGTCAGAGCCCCTCTAACCTCATGTTGCTTATTAGCTGTTTCCTAGGTTGTGATTTTAATTTCTGCTCCTACAAACTCCATGCAGAAAGTCTGCATTAAATTTAGGCAAACGTCTCACAGCAGTTTGCCATGTGCTCTTCTTAACACTTGAAGTCACACTGCTGTTTCAGGTAAAAATTTGGGGTGAGAACATTTTCTGAGAGTTGTTCGAGAGTTAGGTTTTGAGACAGCCTCAGGTGTGTGGCAGTTGTGCCACTTGAGTGGGCAAAACAATTTTGCAGTAATTCTTGAGTTTTCTGCCACAGCTTTCAGCGTGAAACAGCCTGGGGACTTCTGTCTGATTTTGTGTCATCTAGAGACAGTTTTACACTCCAGGGAGGCTTTCTCAGCACTTGAAGCACTTCAGTATTTTAGTGTCTTGCACCAGTGTTTAATATCTGTTTTATTTGAAGAAGTCAGAAAAGGGCAGTGGGATAAGAAGATAATTGAAACTGCAGCAGTTCTTAGTTTGTGGAGCTTGTTCTGCAGGCTTAAATGTGTGTCAAGGAAGTTCAGTTTTCTTAAAGAATTGCTATTGTTGGTAGGAGGTTTCACTTTGCTGGAGAATTAGCTTTTTAGAGAAAATGTTTAATTGTTTCATCCCCCAAAAATGGGGTGTAAAATAAGTGTGTGGATTAAGAACGGTGACTTCTTCAGTGTTTCTGTAAAGCATTTGCTGCTGCCTGGCCTGTCATCTAACTCTGCTGAAATCCAGGCCTAACCTGTGTTTCCCAAGATGTCTACTGGTATTTTTTAAGAAATAGGAATATTTTAAGCAGCAGAATTACTCCTAAGTAACCGCATCTTGCTGGAGTTATAGCAGCCACGTTGCACGTTAAGCTTGGGCTTTTGTGTGTTGCAGTTTGGCACCTTAATTAGTTGCAGTGGAGCACCGAGCAGTCCCCCAAATTACTGATACTGAAGAGAATTATTTAGAATTAGCAACAGCTCCAGGGTATTTGCCACCATAGGGTGTTTTCTGATCGTAGAACTCGTGTGGTTTTTAAAAGCCCAGTAATAGCAGAGCACCTCCTGCACCTGCACCTTCAGTTCAGATGGGGCTTGTTTCTCTTGCAGAGTAGTCTTTTAATAAACACATTTAAGTGCGAAGTGGGAGGCTTGTTTTGCAGGCCAAGGGTTTTCTGCCCCACACTCAGCCTTGCTCACAGATTCAAATGTTTCGGTGCTGCTTTGGAGAGAGTAAGTCCAAACCTCTCAAGGCTCCTTAGTAATGAATTCTCCGCTGTCATTACTGCAAATACTCCGTGGGATCTGGTGTTATCAAAACACTTGTGTTTTTCCACGGGGGAGCCAGTTGTGCCGCTGGAGCAGCGCGGCCGTGGGCGCTGGGTTGCTGGGGCGAGGGCGGCTGCCTCGGCGCGCGGGGGCTCGGCCTGAGCCGCTCAGGGCGCTGCCGGCGCGTTGCAGGCGGCGCTGGCCGGGCCCGGCGGCGAAGCCGAGCGCTGGCGCAGGCTGGCGCAGCGCCAGGGCCGCGACCTGGACGCCTTCCGGGCGCAGCTGGACGCCATCCTGGAGGTGCTGCGGGAGCTGCAGCGCCGCGCCGGGGGCAGCCCCGCGCCGCCGGCTCCGGCACGCGGGCGCCCTTAGAGCCGCGCAACGGCCGGGCGCGGAGCTGCGCGGGAGCCCCTTGCTGCAAGTCGCCAGGGGAATGCTCGGAAGCGGAATTAGCGGAATTACGCACCGATTTCATCGGAAACCGTGCTTGGCCAGAGGTAGATTCACACTCGGAAGCGGAATTATGCACCAATTTCCTCGGAAACCGTGCTTGGCCAGAGGTAGATTCGCACTCGGAAGCGGAATTATGCACCAATTTCCTCGGAAACTGTGCTTGGCCAGAGGTAGATTCACACTGGTTGATGCCCCACTCAGACTGTACATATTTGATTTTGCTGGTAATGAAGTTCTGCACAAAAGTATTTTTTTAAATATCACAAAGATTGAAGTTACTCCATGAACTCAGTTACCACTGGAAAAACTCCATTTTATGCTTTTCAGACACTGCAGAACGTGCCTGAATAATCTTTTCTTTATAGCTTCATGGTGCATCAGTTCCTTTATGAAAGATTCAAGTAATATGAGCTATTTTATTAATATTTTTAATATAAATACTGCTAGCAGCATTCTTAATTTCATAGGGAATGAGCTCCTTTTTCTATGATAATGTAAAACTCCTCTTTCTATGCGGCTGATGTGGCTGCACACGCACCAAGAACAAACCCCGCGTGCTGAGCCCTCGCGGCACAGGTAGCGGGCGATGCAGGGCCTGGGGAAGGAGGGGAGAGAACATGTGCAAAGAGGAACAGGCTCTATAAAAAGGGATGGGGAACTTGGGATTAATATCATCTTGGTTGCTTGTTGTTGTATTTTCAGTATTCTTAATAGGGATGATTTTGTTCACAAATAATGACATCAAATCTGTATTTATAAAGTGTGTAAATACAACTATGTATATGAAGCATCAGCAAGGAGTGACTGTGCTGCATTTTGTTAATGAAGATTTGGGACCGTTTTACAAATCAGAAGGCAAAATTGTTGCATCATTTCAACTTATTTGTTTCCTGTACAGGTTGCAGTATATATGTGCATTGTTTTAATAAAGTGTGGAAGCAGAAGCGGGAGTTGTGAGTCCCTCCAACTTGGAGTGTCCTCAGGGAGGGCAGGGCAGCATCCAGCCCTGCTGGGAGCATTTTCAGGTGCTGGAACCTCTCGGCCTTCCAAGCTGTCATTTCTAAACTCTCTTGAGTGCACAAAGCCCTGCTGGTGTCTTCCTGCCTGCATATTTCATTTGTTTGCTCTCCACTCTTCCTCACAGTTTTAGTTTTACAGTTACTGAAGCATTTTTTTCTAAAAGCCACTTCACCCAATGCTGGAGAGGAGCTGTAGTTTTTTGGAACTGCTGAAATAACTGGGCCCTGTTTTTGGAGAGCAAAGTCCTAGGTTTAACAGCTACAGAAGAGAATTATCAGTCCTCTAGAGTATTCTGGCTCTTCAGAAGATCCCTCTAACAATGTGCACTTGCACACAGTGAATTTCATGATAAAGCCACAGCTTTTCTTTTCCTTTTGCCATGCCATACTATTTTATTATACATTGCCAGAGAGCATTGTTTTGCATGGATGCAGAAGAACCTTAAAAAATTCTTTCCTTTGGATTACAGTTTTGCTGTGGAGCTGGAAATCACTTGTTTAAAACAAAGAGCATTGCCAGCATTAAGAAGGTAATGAACTTGATGCATCCTACTTGATCCTTTTAGGAAATCTAGCAACTCTCGCGTGCAGTAAGCTGTTGCCCTAGATTCAAGAAGGGGTCCCTGCCTCCGCAGAGGAGAGCAGGGGCTGCAGAGCAGCTCCAGCCTCCTCCTGCCCTGCTCTTCCTTTCCACATTACTGAAATCTTTATCCAGATTATTCATGTAACAAATTTAATAGGTTAACGTGGAAGGAAAGTTTATTTGATAGTATAGTTACAGTTTGAAGCCTGCCCTTAAATCTACTATTTAACTGGTTTGTAAAGGAAGGCATTCTGCTCTGTGTACCTGAGCACTGCTCAGGTGCTCAGGTGGGGATGGGTCACATACAGCATGGACTCTTGTACAGATTTCAGAAAGCTCCTCACATAACCTGAACTGTCACCCCTAGTCTTTCGTACAGGTAAGGGGCTAGCACGAGGACAGCCCCCACTGTAGCAAAATGCTTCCATTAAAGCACTTTAAGTTCTACAGCTCCAATAGAGCCATACAACTAGCATGACAGATACCCTGGGCTTTGCATTTTAACCTCATCAACCTAATCTCTACATTTTAGGAGAATTTATGGTTTAACTATTCCCATTCTTGGTTCTTGTTAGAGACCTTCTTTGTTAAAGGGACACAGATAAAGCTTGTTCACTTTATAAGTATAATAAGTATATTTGACAATGGGAATACAGCACTTATTAAAGGGCACCCAGGAGGTTAGGGAGCACACTACACGCATAGGGTCCTAGATGCAGAACGTAGGAGCATAGGGCAGTCGGAAGCAGGGGCACTTCCCCTGCAGTTAAACAACAAGCACAGCTGTTGCTGTTAGGTATTAAAGGCATTAAATCTGCCACTGGTGATGTATTTAACACTAGGGAATTTTCAGAAGGGCCCACCAAGACAGGGCAAACAGCCCAAACTCTTAGCAATAATTTCATTTTCAAGGATGAGGTATAAACAGCATAAATTCTGAATATTATGTTTAAATGATTTCCTCAGTTACTCCCCTTACTTTTCATTACTTTGCCACTTATTGGCTTCTTAGTACTTCAGATCTTTTCCAAGGTCACATGAAGCACCACTCCTGTAAGACACAGCTTCTGAGCTTCTGTTCTTTATGCAAACTAATAGGTAAGTAGAGCTTTGCAAAAACTGCTCCTGAAAACTGCAGAAAGTTTCTGTTTTGCCTGTAACTACTGTTCTAAAGCTGACACAGAGCAATATCTGACTTAGGCTGTATTGCTGTTACAGGTGTGGGCAGCTGTGGGGAAGCAGGTAACTTGTAAAGACAAAGTGAAAGAAGAAACCAAAATCCACTAGGGGAAAGAAAAAGCAGCAGGTATTGAACACGTAGGTATCTTTACAACCCTAGTACTTGTTTCAGAAGTACACTGAAAATACATTTGAAAGTGTTTAAGTTTGTATTATCCCTTGATGATGTTACCTGGGCAGTAAGTGTGACCAGCCCTCATCTGCATTACTGCTTTTCCTGTCTCCCCAAAAGCAGCAGTTATGCACCTAAAGCAAAGCCACCAAGTTGAGGGTCAGAGCTTTTGGTTATAATAGAGGGAAGAATGGTTTAAAAGTGAAAAGCTTCATTCCCTGATAGCAAGAGCCAACTAGATGCTGTTCTGCACAAGGTTTCTTCAGCAGTATTTCTCTTCTTAACCATGGCAAAGGAGGCGGGGGGGTGTAAGAAAACAGATCAGACATGCCCCAATACAGATCACATGCACAGAAGCTGCCTGTAGGAACCACATTTAGCAGAAGTAACAGAGAGCTTGTTGGGGAGAAAATCTGCAACCCACAATCTGCAATTCAAACAGAAGCTTCATCAGGAGGTAACTGATATTTCTTTGAGCTCCCTCCGTTGGAGCAGCTGCCTTGCTCAGAAGAAATGAACACTTGTAAATTTGTAAAATTGCCCAAAGACAAATGACCTGCTGGAACCACTGCAGAGTATTTCTGCAGAGACAGGGACAATTGCACCAGGGTTTCAGATGTTTCCAGCAACACAGGTTATCATTCCACACACCCCACATACCTAGGCCATAAAGAAAGGCTGGGTCTACTCCTCTAAAATATTTGGGTTGAAAGCGCTATGAAGTCCTGTATGTCACTAAGGGGAGTGCAAGACCTGACTTCACTGGAGAGCACCCGGGAGGAGGTGCAGGACACGGACTCTGCTGCAGAGATGACCCCTGGCCCGTGGAGCCTCTGGGCTGCACAGTGCAGCGAGCACCGGCAGCTCAGCACTGCGCCCAAGGGAGTGAGTGGCACAGCAAGATTGACCAAAGCCAAAGCACAGAATAATGAAGGGCTAAGGAAAGGGGCAGGAATTCATCTAGGGAGACATAAGCTGCAACCTTTCTGCTCACTGTTAACCATTTGCTGTAAAAGAGGACCTTTTTGGTGCTTTAGGAAGGATGCCAGAGCCAGACATTGTGGTCTTCCTTTGGCAATGGTACTTTCAGCAATGATTTGCTTGTTTTTAAATAGCCTCTGCTTTCCATTAACAGTAATCCCATTACTGTAAATACAGGGAAGTACTGCAAGAAATTATGCTTGAAAACAGAAAAGGTAGGTGCAGGTGATTCATAATATAGGCACAGGAGATTAAAACCAGTGAGGAGTCGTCATTCTTTCCCCCTGTATTCTTAAATACAACTACTCTTCTGCTGAATGAAGAAAGAAAAAAATCACCAAGGGTCTTTAGCACAGGCCACTGCTACATTTTCTGTCTACCACAGGACGTGTTACGTACACAAAGCAGATTACTTTCAGGAAAACAGGATTAGGCAGAGTATGCTGAATCCAGCAGTTCGATTTGCGCTAGAAGCTTCCTGCAGCACATCTTCCAACCCAGCAAAGGCTTTGAACCCATTTCTTCTGCATCCCATGTGCTTGCTCTAAGACCACTGTGCATCAGCTCCGTGACTCAGCAGAAAGCTGTCTAGTCTTCCAGTACTGCTACACTTCAGAACTTCCATCTTTAAAACATACACAAAAGCACAAAAGAAAAAAAAAAAAAAAACCAAAAAAATCTCCGCTTACTCATTTCCTTAACAAGCTCTCCCCTACCACAGTTGTGCTTACAGTTCCACCCCAACTGAGCACAACAAGGGGAGGGAATGAGCACAGCTCAGCTCCATTTCTGCAGTTGGCTCTCAAAGCCCTCACAGGCCTTCTCGACCTTCTCTGCACCACTGCTGAAAAAAATGGTACTTTGCAGAGCGCCAAAACGGCCCAGCCTACAAACAGAGCGTAATGCCAGCCTCCCACACTGTTACTGTTTGCAGACACTAATTCTGTGGGTAAAAAAGAAAAACTTCCATCTCATTTTCAATGACTTTGTCTTAGGAATCCTGCACTTAGCAAATCAGAAGCTTACAGAGGCAAAAAATGAAATTCATGTTTGTGCAGAACATGAATTCCAGGTCATCACTGTATGTCAAGCTGAAACACTGTATCTACAGGCTCCAATTTGCTTTTATTCAGCAGCAGATGGTGGGAGCATTTTGCAAATAGGATAGCTGAACAGTGTAACATGCAAAGCAGTCCCTTTGGGCGCTTTGTAAACTCTTAAAGAGAGCTAGGAATCAGAAGCAGAGACTGAGGCCAGGCAGGTAACACCACAGGGCTCACGGTTTCAGTCATCCTTGGTGGGGGTGGCAGAAGGTGCAGAAGGCCCCAAGGGCTGGCTGTTTATTCCTTGCCTCAGTCTTGATTTGAGTTTACATTTTCCTTGGCCAAGGAGAGTTTTCACATCCCTCCCAAAGCCAGGCCCCAGCTTTTACGGTCTCTACAATTCATTATGGGACTAAAAAGCTGGATATGAGCAGTCATTTAAAAACAAAAAACAGGAAGCAAAAACAATGCTGAGAAAGGCACTCGGACTGCAGACACCAGAGTAAAGCATTCAGTATTTTACTTCAAATCTAAACAGTTCTGTCAGCACAGCCAGTATTCACAATAAAAAGCATGATACATGCACACAGGTCTGAATAGCTTGTTAGAACAGCCAAATGGCCAAGAAGGGCTTTCCAACCCTTAATTAACGGGAATTTTTACCTTCAATTTTCATCTCAGTCAAGAATCCGATGGGAAGACTGCATGACAGATTTGCTTTCTAAAATGATAGGTGGCTCTGAGATGAGAAGATCATCCTCACCTAGTGAAGAGTTCTGCTCAGTATTCACAAAATTAGGAATGTTAAATTTTGTAAGACAATTTAGGTCCTCCTCAAGCCTTCCACTGTTCCTGGGCACTTCCTGGAAGTGAATATTACTCTCCAGGACCATCCCTCTGTGACTTGCTTTTCCTTTGTCCAAATGTTCCACTTCATTAATGCAGAAATGGAAGAGCGACCGAGATTCTTCAGCTATTTGACGAGAAAAGACTCTCTCCGACTCCAGAGGTCTTCCAAAATCTGCCACAAAACTATTCATGCGGAATCTTTTTTCTGAGGGTTCTGCATTGCTAGGGAGGAAAAAAAAAAAAAAAAAAAAGGACTGTAGGAATGAAAACAGAGTTATTGGCATTAACAGCAAATAAAGTTTCAGCAAGCATCATAAGCAGGAAGGAAATCAACAGTTTATCTACAATAGGCTTGAAAAGTATATACTATTTTAGATTTTCTCATGGAACTACTATAAATCTGAATTCCTAGTGATAATTTGCCATGGGGAAAGCTACCAATGCCAGCACTCTTAAGTGGGACTTTTAGTAATGAGTATGCTTAAATTAAGAACCACTTCAGTATTTCCTCTGAATGAATAACAAATTTGTTTGTTTTAAAAAACAGGGCTCGTAGAACACTTTGAATAAAGTCTTTCAGGAAGAAAACCTTGAGAGGCTAGGGTAGCCCTGCTGGCACTACAAGCACAGTTAGAGGGCTGGCTGTCCAGGCATCAAGGTGTCCTTTTCCAGTGACTTCAACAACAAACAGTGCTCTCTCCAAGAGCTCAAACTAAGAACTACTATAAAGACTACAAGGATTAAAAAAATCAGGACCCCAAGCCAGGAACATCTTGACACACATTTTTTAAAAGCTTCTAGAGCTCTCTGTTCAAAATAGCTCCAGTCTACCCAGACTGACACATAAATCCTGGACAACAACGGGTGAGACAAGAACCAGCTCAAAGTTTTATGGTCACTAATGCACCTTTGCCAGGCTGGCTTTGTGGGGATGGTGTCAAAAGACTTGGAGGCACTTACTCCTAGTGCAGGGAAGGAAGTTGCAGCGTAGCTTGGAAATCTCTGCAGGCATATACATGCCTTTGGGAATCTGCTATCTGGCTCAAGAGTCATTTGCTCCTTGTTCCAATTAAAATTCTGTGAGCTACTTACTCTAACAAAACCATTCTATTCTGAAAGTATGTCAGATTTTTCACTGCTTATCTCAGAATGCCTCCACTGCCTTTTAAATGCATCTGAAATGGCAGTGACTCCTGGGCTGCAAGCAATCAATCCCTAAAAGCTCTGTGTTCAGAGAATACTCCCCATTACAGTCTTTCCCATCCTTAATTATAATGATTTCTGTCTTTCAAATGCTAACTGACTTTCATTACATTATATAAGGATTTTATCCTCACAAAATCAGATGTTACTGACATAGTCTTCAAATCCCAACAGCCCTCTAGTTTGTCAAAGGCTCATGACAATTATACAGTATATACAGCAGACGACAATAAAAATAGGCTAATACTGCAGTAATCTTATGTATTTTAAGTATTTCTAATGCAACAGAAAGCATCACCCAGTGCAAGCTGCAGGTATGGTTTTGCCCCAACACACCTTCCAAGAGGGCCTTCTGGTTTGGGGCTGACAATTCAGTTTTCCCTAGAGCTCAGTGCTCCCTTGGGTGACTTTGAGTGCAGAGCCCAATGTAAAAGGGCAGACAACCCTCCACAACCTGCAGAGTTTGACATCCCAAAGGGAATCTGGGCATCTAGAGAAAATCTTAGTATTAATCCAGAGATTCTCCCCTTGAAGCTGAGAAACCTTCAGAGTAAGTTACAGTAAACACAAACATATCTCTGTAGCAAAAGCTCATTTCAGTGAATCGCCAGTTTTCCTAAGTGGGTGTCATTTAATGATTTAATTAAATGGCGTATTTAATGATTTAATTAAAGAATGGTCATTTTACCATTACTATACCTACTCATTTAACCTGCCTCAATAGCTTTAAGAAGTTTTGTAATGACATTGGCCAATGTTTTGTACAGATAGGTGACGTGAACAAACTCATAGGTTGCAAATATGGTTTTCTTAAGGCTATTTTTTAAAGGCACAAACAAAACCAGCATACTGTCTTCTTAGTGAAGGCTCAAAAACATTTCCAAGGAAAAATACAGTAAAAAGGAAACAATATTTTGATTGCTAAGCCAAAGTTCTGCACACTTTAATATGCAAAACAAGGAAAGGAGAAAGTGCAATGGGTATCATTTCCATAACTGATGGAAATTCTATGTCTGCCCATCCACAACCTGACTCCTCCTTCTACGGTGAGGGTGTGCAGAAGTCAACATTGTACATCTTGGCATGTTTTTTTCCTCTAAAATTGTACATCTGAGCCCTTTATACTTTTATGAGAGAAGAGTAATATCAGAAAAATCTGAGTACTCTACTTTGGACCCATCCAACTGAATGCAGTCACATTCTTGACTTCAGGAAGCCAGTTAGGCTACTCTTGAAGGTACCATTAATGTGAGAGGCAAATGTGTCTGGTAGTTAGGCTGGCTTTGTCCCAAGCCTTAGGAAACATGAACATCTGCTTCTAATGGGGTTGCAGCACCAATGAAACCATGAGTCATGAAGAGTCCAGTCAGGGAAAGAGAAAGGATGGATGCAGGCAAACTAAATTCACAGTCTTACAGGTAGGTATTGCTCAAATTGCTTAAATATGTATCAAAATTAAGAGGAGACATTGGTTTTCACCGCCTTTACAGAACATCCAGAAATACACCATTTCCAGCACTGTAACCAGTGGGTTATCAAAAAAAAAAAAATAGTGCTCAAATGCACTGAATGTTCCAACTCTGCATACATACAAGCACACAGTTCCCAAAGGCGAAAAGGAAGTTTAATAAAAAGATGTCTGTTCAGCAACTGAACAAAAATCTATGGAGATTCAGGTTGGAAGGGATCTCCGAAGGTCTCTACTCCAATGCCCTGCTTAAAGCAGGGACCACATCAAAGTCACATGAGGTCAGATGAGCCTCATTTAGTGGACTAGAATGGCCAAAGATGAAGGTTTCACCAACCCTTTACACATATATGTACTCATATATTTCACTTTACCATATATTTCACTTCATCATCTCTTCCCCCTCATTTATTATTCACACGGGATACATGCACAGATACACAGACCACCAAGAGGATTTCCATGACAGGCAACACTCTAGGCTCTAAATATATTTGGGAGCAGAGTCTAGCTACTATATGGTAATACGTAAGGCATGCAAAAATACCATCCATAAAATGATTCAGCAAACCAGTGATTCTGGGAAGCCAAATTCATTTCCACAGAAGCAAAACTTTAGGAGCAAGGAAAGGACTCGTGACACATGCAGATCTTACCTTAATAAGGCCATGCCTCCAGGAATGGGCTATTACATAGTATTTCAGACAGTTTACATGCAGAGATAAGCAAGCTGCCTTAGGAAGTGACAAAGCACGAACAAACTGCCTTTCAACATCAGCTTCTCATCACTGCTGTCTGCCTGTGAGCAATCTCATCTCCCAGAGATCTTTATACTTCTGGTTTGAGAGATGCAAGCCTGAGGGAAGAAGTGGGTTCAAGCTGTTTCACAGGAGAGTCCCTGACAGCCTGCATGCTACGCCAACAGCTTAACGGCCAGACCTGCAGATGCAAGGGTAAGGCAAGGCATGGCCTGCACATGCTTATCAGCCAGACAGCAGCAAAGAAAGGCTTGTGCATCTGCTTTGCCAACATCCATGTTTCTCTCATCTATTACAACAAAAGATGAGCCCAGAACTACCCCATTTATTTGAAGAAAGAGAAATCGAAAGCCATTTGTGCTTGGTGATCTACCTACCACCTTCCTCTAGCATGAAGACATGCACAGACTAGCCAACCCTTTCTTTTTCTGCATCACTGCTGACAATTTGTGGAATGGGGAACACATTAAGACACACTTGACAAAATTGCTCTCCTGGAAGCTCTTGGAACACAGATTATTTGTAATAAAGACACTTGTCACCCATTCATAAAAGCAGTGGAGAACAAGAAAATATTGAGCTGTGCACAGTATCAACACTGTCACCACTTGCTTGGGGGCTGATGAAGAACATACACTCCACTCTGCAGGCTGGATTTGTCAAGGCAGAGTTTTCAGACTCACTCTTGATGCGGTGCTCCTGTCTTTGTCAGCAGGGTCAGCACGAAGAACATGAAGATGACAAAAACCGCAAGGCCAACCCAAAAGCCAATCACAATGGAATCTGGGGAAAAAGGAAACAAACTGCTCAATATTTCACACATACTGCAGGAATTTCTCTTCCACATGAAGTGAAGTATGATTACAAATTCCTCAAGACTCTGTTTCTTATTCACGACAAACACAGAGATGGCAAGGAATAAGGATAATCAGATTTATCCTCATCTGGTTTTAAGCAGCTGCTGCTGCTAAGGAAATTCCTAATTTTACTGACACATGGATAAACCAGAAACTAGTTGAAGGAGGGGAGGATTCTCTTTGTAGCTCCCTTTGTAACAACTGATCTGTCTCCAAATATTGCTTTGGACACAACCAAGGTGGTAGAATACGGAAAAAAAAGGTTTATTTGGCTTTAGCAGAAACCCCTTGTTACTTTACAGTTGATTTAGTTAATTATTTTTTGTTAATGCAAATACTCCAAAAACGCACTGTAGAATTTCAAAAAGTTAATATATGAGACAAGCAAGAGGGAAGTCTGGGTCAGGAGAGGTTTATCTCAGAGTCTATCTCACACACCCAAGCTCTTATATACACAGCCACCTCTGAGCCTCAAAGACCCCCATGGACTTTAAAGCTACTTGATCATCTCTCCGACCCTCAGTGGCAGGACTTTAGCCAGTATGTTGGATACTCAGTTTTGTGCACGACTGAAAACAAGGAATCAGCTCTCCCGCCTGGTCCTTGGCACCAATGGCTAATCACTCTCCTGCTGTGAAACATCTTCTATGTTAAAGGCAGAGCTGAAAACTGGAAATCAAACCATTTGCTTTTTCTCTGTGCAAAGTGCCTGCTGCACCTTGACATTTTCTCTCTGTGAAAATGCTTTATCACAATCAAGTCACTCCTTAATCTCTTTTCCAGAGAGCTAAGAAGGTTAAGTTTCAGGTCCCTCACTGCAAGTTCCCCCCCCACACACCTCTCAACATCCTTTATAAGCAGAGGGAGGCATTCAAGTATAGGTCCTTATGATGAGTAGAGAGAAAGGAGAGGAAAAAAAAAAAAAACACACAGACAACTACACTAATTCCTCTCCCATTTAGCCAAAGTTAAAGTACAGTGGCAAGCAGCTGTGCCTATAATTCTGTGCCTTATGAACTCCATATAAATTCTTTACAGAATTGCAGTCTTTGAAAAAGTTTCATTCGATAAGCGCAGCCTGTACTCACTGTTTCAAGATGCATCCTGCATTTAGCTTTATTAATACACAGCAGAGCATCATTTTAACCACCCCACAGTTGCATTACCTGCATTTTTTTACCTTGGAAGCAATATGCTCATTAAACAATTTACCACTTTACCCCTCAATTATCTTACCATGCTTCAAGATAACATTCTGATTAGCACAGTTGCATAAGTATGATCAAGTAAGGTGTTTTAAAGCATATAAATTAAGCACATATGTTATATTGATCAGGTTACATCTTTCAATAAAATCCATTAACTCACCAATGAGACTGTCTGATATACCCCTGCTTCTCATAAAACAGCATCTGCTGGTATTAGGCACTCTTGCAGGACTCATGAGTAACAAACCTGCCACAGAGCTGCCATTTGGGCTGTTTTCTTCCCCCTTCAGAGAGGCCTCTTACGTTCACTTGGCCTAAAGCAGCATCTGCTTTGCCTTCATCGCGGCTGCTGACGCATTACTAGCTGCCTCCTGCCTTGCTGGCATCCTCAGCGTTTCGTTAGGATAAAGCAGCAGCCAGAGATCTCCTCAGCATTTCATTTAGGTCTCATCCCTTTAGGTGCAAATTATCCAAACTTCTCTATTCATTTTTTAAGAAGTTGTATATTAGAGGAAATATTGTGACATTCACACCTGGCCCTCCTAACTCCTGCCGTTTTTCCTAATGGGTATTTTTGCATACTGTTTTGTCACATTTTTATTCAGAGATTAATTTGCATAACCGTTTTCCAGCTTCTGAATTCCTTTGTACACCTGTTTAACTACTAAGAATCTCTACTTAGTTACAGTTAATTAAAAACAACACTCATTCCAAAGCGGCCTCCAGCTTTCTCTTACAGAATTCATCTTGCCTCACACCTTCACTAGATCAATCTCTGACAGCACAGAGACAGCAACACCACACTGAACAGAGCCAACTCCATCTATCAGTTAGAAACCCTTTCACATTATCAGAATCAAGACTAACACTTGCCTGGACATTGCCATGTGACTTTAATTAACCTGGAATCGTAAAGCATTCCCCATCAGGCTGAAGTAACTTTGTAGGTTTGGCAATTGACTGAGGAAAAGACAGTGAGAAAGGATTCCCTAGGTGACTGATTCAACACTGCTGTTCAACTCTTCTTTTCTCAAATACATCAAGTTTCACTTGAAAAAGGCTGTTTTTTCTCCCATTTCACTCTCTGGTAAAGGCTGTGCAGACCCTTCCTGCTCCAGGACAGGCAAAGGCAGGGGGCGATGCTGAGCTGCCGTGGCCAGTGTGACAGGGAGTTCATGGGCAATGCAAGAGCTGCTTTGCCACGAGACTTTCTGCAATCCAGTTAACTGTGATTTAGACCTTGTCTTCTCCCATCACCCTTTGACACGCTGAGCTAAAAAGAAGTAGTGTATGTAGCAGTGCAGGTAAGCTTTGTCATCAGTAACCTTTGTAATCAGGTTTGGTCTCTGATTAAGTGCAAGAATGGAATACAGATTAGGAACAAAAATGCTATGCCACTTTTTTGCAAGTGCCTACCATTTCTAAAAATATAGGCAGTAATCAGGACTTGGAGTGGTAAAGTACAGCTCACTGCACAAAAAGTAATTCCTGCTCTAGCTCTTGCCTTTTAAAAATGTTACGAACTACAGCTTGCTTTCAACCTCCTCCTGAATCTCCCTGAAACCACCTGCTGGCTCTTGTACAGGGCCAAAGGAGTTCAGTCTTTCTGGGCTACTGAATGCACTGGGAGAGCTCCTCTTTTCCAGTGCGAATCTTTTTTTATCTCTTTCCCTTCTTCTCCATTTTTATTTGTAAAGTAGTTTAAAAGTTCCAGTATCAATAGGATGCGGAATTGAGCAGGCTTCTCCTCTGACCCACTTACAAAAGTTTCTCCTGAAAAAAGAAATTTATGGTTGTGTTCTAAAGCTTCCTAAAACTTCTAATACATTTTCTATATATTAAAAAAAGTAACCTTGCTCAGCATAACTCTTAACTTTTACCAGAACTGCTTGACAGCACAGCATGAATTGTACAAAGTAGTCACCAGAGGCAGCTGAGGCTGCATTTGCTGCTAGAAACAACAACATAATAGTCCAAGATGCTTCAATATGGATATATCTCTACCACGCCCTGCCCTACCCACCTCACCCAAAAAAAGGAATTAAAAAAAAGTGCTCCTATACATAAGAAAAAGCAGCTAATAAAAAGACAGAATAATAGTAAAAAAATTATAATACTCTAAAAAAATAGAATTAAAAACTAATACTTGTGAATTCATAAAATAAGCAGAGATTTCTGTAGAACAGCCACAGTTACAAATAAGTAGAGCAACCTTTAGAATGAGAAAGCTCAGCTAAAACATTGTCTTTACTGAACTTACATTTATGAGCCTTGAGGCCTTCAAACGACACTGGTCCATACTCATAGTACTCATACTCCCAAGTGTAATCGGAGTTAGACAAGGCCTGTTGGGAGGTCCTGTTAGAAACCAACCTCAGGGCAGACATCTCGAATGAGAATATATACCTGAGGATACAAAATGTGTTAACAGCAATTATAAACACATCTTTTGATTTTGCACAGACTCCTTCCCTATTTATGGACTTCACTCTCAAAATCATAGAATCATTATGGTTGGAAAAGACCTTTGAGATCAGCAAGTCTAACTGTAAACCCATCAACACGTCTGCTAAATCATGTCCCTTAAGTGCCTCATCTACACGTTTCTTGAACATATCAACTTTCCAAGGAAGAGCCACTCACTCTTACAGAGGCTCTCTCATCTGTTCCTTTAAAAAATAATATCATTACCCCATCAGATGAGATAATCACTTCCCCCTTTCATCACCTCCTTGATGATGAACCACCAGCCAACATCACTTTCTCTTCAGTGGAAAGTGAGGCTCTATGCTCACCTCCACCTGCCTGTCAAAGAATAAAGTACCAAAGACAGGCCTCTCACAGAATACAGTTTTCATAGCTGGAAAAACAAACAAAAATGTAAGTGCCAAAGATTACCAGTTTCAGAACACAGTAAGTTAGATGGATGTTTGGATGGAAAACTGGCTGCACTGCCAGGCACAAAGGCTCCTGATCAGTCTCCAAAAGGCTGGCTAGCAGCTTGTAACTGACTGTGTATGTCAGGAACTGATACTGGAACCAAAACTGTTTGGCATCTTTCTTAGAGATGTGGACAGTGAGATGGATGCACTCACAGCAAGCTCACAGATGACAGGGGAAGAGTCAACAGGTTCAGAGGGAGCTGGACAAGCTCATGAGGGTCACGAAGGCAAACATCAAGTCTGCATGTGGAAGGGAATAAGCAAAGGCAGCAGTACAGGCTGGGGGGCAGCTCCGCAGAAAAGGACCTTGGGACAAAAGCAGCCACTCATGTACTGGCTGTGTTAGCAAGAGTGTCCAGCCTTGGACACCCCAAGGCCAGAAAGGTCCATGCTGGAATGAGCCCAGTGCAGGCTCACCAAGACACACAAGGGATTGAAGCACAAGATACAAGAGAGGCTGAGAGTTTCTTCACCCTGGAGAAAAGCCATCTCGGGGGAGACCTTATTGGCAGGTACAGCTACAGTCAGCAGGTGCAGAGAAAACTAAAGAAAACTCTTCTTGGAGGAACACAGGAGCAGAACAAGAAGCAACAGACATAAATTATAACATAGGAAACTCCAATGAGGTTTTTTTTTTACCATAAGGGTGGTCAAACACTAAAACAGGCTGCAAAAATCTCCATTCTTGGAGATGCTCAAAACTCAACCAGACACGGCTCTGAACAGCTTGATCAAATTGGACTTGCTTTGAGTAGGAAGCTGGACCAGATGACTGCCAGAAGTCCCTCCCAATATAAATTTTTCTCTGATAAGAAGTTGCTGTCTGCTTCTACAGAAGGAAAATAGAACAGGAATCATTTTACCCACAAACTAACACACAACCACCTAAAAAAAAGGCAATGTAATATTAAGCATCATTAAAATTAGCTGTTTGTCTATCACAGCATTGAGCCAGGTGAATTTTGCAGAATAATTTTCAGAATTATTCAGAATAATTTTTGTTCATTCTATGCACAAAAGAATCCCTGTGCAAACATCTGCTGCAGCAGCCAGAGTTAGAACACCTAACGTGCAATGTCTGACAAAACAGCATTCCCTAGGAAATGGTGCAATGCTTTTTCTAAAAGTAAATTGAGCTTTGAGTAAATTCACATTTGATTAAAATCCAGCAGCTTGAAGGCTTCACGCAGTTCATAAAAACTACTGCAATTAGTTATTCTGCGGACAAGAAGCTTCTCACTGCACAAAGCCAAACAAAGCTCCCTGAACAAAAAGGGTTCTGAACAGTCATTTCCTTCAAACAAGAAGGACTGAAGTTTTAGCTAGGGATAATTTAATAAGGCCGTGTAAGTAAAGTACATTGTTTAAGTGCTAGGAAGGCAATGCATAAAGAACAGGAATCAGTTACCAAGCAAGGAAAACAAATTCACCTGGGGAGTACAAGCAGTCTCAAATTCAAGACTAACTAGCATGAAGGGAGAGAAGACAAGATAGCTTTGGGGCTGTAACGGATAATCCAGTTCATGGCTGAGAATGCTTCCAATTTTCTACTTCCAGCTGTTAGGGAAACCTATTGAAAAAGCTAAGCCTAATTTTAAGGCTTTTCTCCTTCGCTTTTTCAGTGACTCAAAAATTTTCTTTCCTTTTTTCATGAAATGGGCGAGATAATTTTTTAATCAGGCTTTAGAGTAAGCATTTTTCTTGATTTTAATCTTCCAAGGTAACTGCTACCTCCTGGGAAAAAGAAATGGTACTGAGAAACGCAAGATTCTCATCTTGGTTTTCTCCCAGCCCAGGAGCTCTGCTACTTGGCAAAACAAAATATTACAAGATTCTGTTTCACTTTTGTGACTGAGCCCTCAGAGATTACATGCTACTGTATGGGGCTCCCAGAATCTCTTTCTCCTTCTCCTCAACGTTGTCTTGAAAATTTGTTTCTTATGAAATTTAATTAGCATGTTCCTCTTTTGGAGGCTCTTTCTTAAATGAACTTCTAGATAAATTTTCTATTTAAATGTTATTATATGGCTTCGCCAGGGTTGTCATTTCCTCACTTCTTTTTAGTGGTACAAGAAAAGCTGAACAGGAATCTGCAGGTAGAAACAAAAACCAGAATGTATGTATATGAAAAGCCTGAAAAATGTTCTTTCCTCCACCTCTTGCGTAAGCAGAACTTAACAATATCTTAATATAACAAGCAACAGAGTCAAAGAAAACAGAGATTTTGCATCTTCCCAGGAAGAGCAAAGCAGAATAAGCTGACCTACCGGCTGCCCTGCAGCCTGGCCCTGGGCACCCGCTGGACTGTAACTGGTCAAAGAAAGACTCCAAGCGTCAGCTGGGAGCTGACGGGCAGGAATCCCCCCAGGAGACAAACGCAGTGACTGGACAGCAGTGATTCATCCCACCGCTCTGAGGAACCACAGGGAGCTGCTATAATTGGCTTTGTTGGGTGTTTTTTGGAAAGGCTGGGGATTGTTTAAGGTAAACATGAAAGTTCCTCTGCTGACTTTGATGCATATGCATGCAGACAGTCTTTTCTCACCCTGAGCAAGTAAGCAAACTCATGAAAACCTTCATATTATCAGGGAGGGAGAGGGAGGGAGAGGGAGGGAGAGGG